CCAGGGCGTGATCCTGGAGACCCGGGATCGAGTCCCACGTCAGGCTCCCTGCATGGAGCCTGCTTCTCCCTCTGCCTGTGCCTCTGCCTCTCTCTCTCTCTGTCTCTCTCCCTCTCTGTGTCTCTATGAATAAATAAATTAAAAAAAAAAGAAAGAAATGAAAATGTATTTGCCAAGTTTCAAGCACCAAAAGCTCCCCTTGGGCCCGGGGCAGACCTGCAGTAACCAGGGGGTGGGTGCAGGTCTGGGCAGCAGCGGCCCCACACGGCCTGAGTGTCCCCCCAGGGCTGCCCGGCCTCGTCCCTGACGCTGGCGATCTGGGCGGCTTTCCTCTGCCCCCCTCCGCCCCGCACTGGGTCAGGGCCGTGGGGCCGTGGTCCCCAGACCCCCAGACGCTGAGCGCCTCCCTCTGTGCTGCCAGGGACCCCGTTTTCATCTTGTTCCGTGGTCCCGTTGCCAAGAGCATTCTCCATGCCATTTTTTTTTCCGTTTTATTTTTCGAGGAACCGTAGTTTGGATTTTAAGAAGTTTTCCTTGCTTTCCAGTGAATGCATTTTCTCTTTTCTCCCACTTGATTCTGTTTCAGTCTTTCTTGTTCACCCCGTTGCTCCTTTTCCGTTCGGGTTTCTCCGTTAACCTCTATGTTGCTTTAATTTTAATAATAGAACCAAGAAAAATACAAGCGATCAACGGTGAGCTTTCCCGAGGCCCCGGGCTAGGTCTTGTGGGAGTCCGTGACGTGGGGACCCTGGTCTATAAATAGGAGCAGCGCGAACTCCGACTTCCTCTCTGACTCACTGCGGACTGGGGATTGGTTGGGTTCTCGGGCACCTTTTGTTTCACTAACGTTTAATTTTATAGGATGAAGATTTGAGTGCAAGCCCAAGTGATTTTCATTTTTGAAATCATTTCAACCTTCAATTTGCAACTTGGTTTTGTGTCATCTTTCTACTTTTTTCATGTGGTTTTTTTTTGCGGGGGGGGGGGAAGCGTGTATTCCCTCTATGCATACTGCATTTTATATATATATATATAAAAAAGACGTTAAAAACAAAATTCAGCTGAGTAATTGGCTTTATTCACCAATTCCTGACTTGGGCAGCGTCCCATCCACCAGATGGAAGGGCGCTCCAAGAAACTGTACCAGAAGGAAGGTTTTTATAGGCAAAGCAGGGGTAGAGGGGCCGAGGGAATTGAGGGTGGATTATTTCCGGCAAGGTCACCTTCCCTTAGAGAAGCAAGGGTCTTATCAGGCCGGTGACCTTTTACCTTATCAGGAGGATTAGTGCTGACCAGGAAATTCCCAACAGATTGATTTAAAATTCCATTCCCGGGAGAGGCTGGAACTGCAATTAGGTCAGGTGTTAAGCATCGGTGGGGCTTCGCACAAAACGATTCCGTTTGGGGGCCTGTTTCTTCTTAACGATAAAACCTAAATCACAGGGCAGCCCGGGTGGCTCCGCGGTTCGGTGCCTTCAGAGCCGCGTCTGCTGGCTCATTTCCTCCTTAGCAGGTTTTTCCCCTTTAAATTCTAAGGTTGGTTAACGTCGCCCCTGTGGTCTCGTAAGGCCCTGCAGTATGTCACCGCCGGCGGAAGGGGACACTGTGCATAATGGACCCACAATGATCTCGATATAAAAAAAAAAAAATCACAAAAAAGAAGCCCGATTAACATATAGTTAAAGAAACAGCTACCCAGAAGGTAAAAGGTTGGACCACGCAGGGGAGAGGATTTTAGTTTGCTGCATCAGGGAAACTGTTTACACGTGTGAAAAATAATAAAGGAAAACCTCCCATGGAGAAGCCGTGAAGACGGAGCTCGCGTGCACCACCCCTTACAGACCCTCACGGGCACTACCCCAGCAGGGGAAGATCATCTCCTGCCCTGGCAACAGCTCAGCCAATGAGAGAGCCAGGGCCCCGCCAGCGGGGGACACCCACAGCCCGGCCAGAGGGGACAGCCAGGGCCCGGCCAATTAGAAGCCATCACCACCTGGCTCTCCCTTTCCTCCAGTGGATTTTCCTTCAAAGCGGCCCCTTCCCACCTTCCTCCTTTTTGTCCCTACAGCAACTTTCCTATGTTCTCTGGACCCTCCTGTGGTTGTGTCATGCCTTGCAGGTCCCGAATTTCCATTTTTCTGCTATCCTCAAACAAACCCACTTTTCTGGGAAGGAAAGTGGCCAGTTTGCGACGCTCAGCAGTCAGCAGCCGAAAGCCCTGTTCCCTGTCCCCCGGCTGCGGGTGGCCTGACATGGGGCCCTAGTCCTCTCTAACAGGCTCTCGCCTTCTCCGGACCCCAGAGTGAGAGGTCAGGGGCGTGGGGGGGTCCATGGCCGCCGGCCTCCGGGACCTGCTGCTCCCTTCCTGGGGGTGGGTCCCACCGGGTGCCTGCCAGGCCCCAGGCACGATCCCCTCTGCTCTAGGGAGGCCGCCCTCCTGGTCACTCCTCTGTCTCATGTTCCTCTACAGGGACAAGGCCCAGGTCCTGCCCCTGCTGCCCCACCCCCAGCCCGGGGCCTCCCCAAGGAAGGCCAACCTTGCCCCAGCGGGGTCTCTCGGCCACAGGGGTCCTGCCTCCAGCCCCCCAACTACATCTCAGACCCCACAGAAGGACCCTCCTGGGAGAGCATCACAGGGACAGGTCCCCACAGGGGGAGTTCGTGGAGTCCCCGCAGCCAGGAGCCCAGACACCGGCATTACCCTGATTTCCCGCTCCGCCCCCCCCAAAGGACTTTCATTCCGCACCCCCCCAACTCCCTCCTCCTGCCCCATGGACTCTTGTCCCCGGCCTTGGTTGGACTCACCTGTAGCTTTGCCCGGGCTTGCAGGTCCCAAGCCATGGCCCTGCCTTCCCAGACAGGCTCATCGTGCTGACCCAACTGGCTGTGAGGTTAACACCTCCTTGCTGCGTGATTCCTGGGGGCCATGGGAGTGCAGGGGCTGCTTGCCCCTCTTCGTTCTCCTCCCTGGGAACCCAGGGGCCAGACTGCCCCTCCCCCGCCCCCCTCCCCCCAAGCCTGGCGGGTTCTTGGGCAGTCTGGAAGGCTGGCAGGGGGACTCCAGGGAAGCACCACTGGGACTCAAGCACTGGGTGCATTTGGGTAGGAAGGGGCCTTGCTGTGACCCCAAGAGCAGGTGCCTGTGCCCTGTCCGTAGGCAGCCACCAGACCAAAGTGGGTCAGGGTGGATCCTACAGGCCGCGCAGCCTGGGGGGAGGGGAAGTTCGCCCAAACCCCAGCAGTTCTGTCCTGCCTGGCACAGGGACCAATGTCCCTGGCTTAAGCTTGTGGGTTAGCCAGAAAAGGAACGTGTAAAATGAGCCAAAAAGCAAAAGCTCATGAACTTGTAACTTGGGATGGCAGGCGGGGTAAACCCCAGCAGGGGTCAAGGGGCTGGCACTCCAGCAGGAGGCGGTCACAGTCGGTCAGGGGCAGCAGGGCCTCCCTCTGGAACCTGAGCTGCTGTGGCCAGGGGGCCAGGCTGGTAGGTGTAGGTAGGTTCAGTGGGCTCTGGAAGGGGCCTCCCAGTGGGGCCTGTGTGGGGCAGTGCGGTCCAGTGGGGTTTCAGGAGGAGTGGTTCTGCCTGGTGTTCACGGGAGGGGTGAGGGGAGGGACAGGGGAACAGACCAGAGGAACCAGACGGTCCAGTGGGGGCTGCATGGGGGTGGGGCAGGGGGCAGTCCAGGGGAGGCTGAGGGCCAAGGGGGGTGCAAAGGGTTGGTCCAAAGCAGAGTGGGGTCGGGGCACGGTCCACTGTGAGAACAGCCCGGGGGTGGGGGAGGCTGCATGGGGGGCGGGAGGGAAAGAAGGACAGTCGGGGGTGGCTGCATGGGCGTGAGGGGGCTGCATGGGGGCGTCCAGGGAGCGAGGGACAGTCGGGGTGGCTGCATGGGGGCGGGGGGCCTGCATGGGGGGGCTGAGGGGGCCGCACGGGGCTGCATGGGCGGCGGGGGACGGCCCAGGGGCGCCGCGGAGCGGGCGGTGCCGGGGGCTGAGCCGGGGGCTGAGCCGAGGGCTGACCGTGCGGGGCTGCGCCGGGCTCCCCACCGCGGCGTCCGGGGCTCGGGGCCGCGCCACGAGGGGGCCGCGTGACCGGGGGCGGGGACCGGGTGGCGGGCGGCGGGGCCGGGGCGTGGCCAGGCGGGCCTGGGGTCCTGGGGGCGTGGCCGGGGCGTGTCGGGGGCGTGGCCGGGGCGTGTCGGGGGCGTGGCCATCCCCGCCGCCTTTCCCGGCAGCGACCGCGGCGGCCCCTGGGCGCCGGGAGGGCGCGTGCGCGGGGAGCAGGGTCCGCGGCCCCGCGGTGCGCCCGCAGGAGCTGCCGCCCGTCGCGCAGGTACCGGCGAGGCGCGGGGCCGGGGGCGCGGGGCGAGCAGGTCGCGGCCGCGTAGGGAGGGACCGGATCTGGGCGCCGCCCTCCGACCCCGGGCCCTGCCCGCGGAGGCACCGGCCGCGTGGACGCGGTGCCCCCCCCCGTGCACGTGCGCCCCGGGGCAAGGCGGGTCCCGGGGCCCCCAGCCCGGCGCGCGGAGCCTTGTCTCCCGCGCAGACTCTGCGGGGTCGGTTGGCTCCTCGGAGGAGGAGGAGGAGGAGCGGGAGGAGGAGGAGGAGCGGGGGGCGGGCGGCGCGGAGCTGGGGCTGGGGCTGGGCCTGCAGCCCTCTGCCGGGTGCACCGCGCGGGCTCCGCCAAGGGGGAGCCGGGGTCAAGGTCCTGGGAGGAGCCGGGGTCGTGGTCGGGGGAGCCGGGGTCGAGGTCGGGGGAGCCTGGGTCATGGTCGGGGAGCCGGGGTCGAGGTCGGGGGAGCCGGGGTCATGGTCGGGGGAGCCGGGGTCGAGGTCGGGGGAGTCGGGGGGAGCCGGGGTCGAGGTCGGGGGAGCCGGGGTCATGGTCGGGGGAGCCGGGATCGAGGTCGGGGGAGCCGGGGTCATGGTCGGGGGAGCCGGGGTCGAGGTCGGGGGAGCCGGGGCCGTGGCCCAGGCACGCAGGGTGTGCTCCTGGGGTTCTTCCCTCTCCCGGGCCGTCCAGCCACGTCCAGCGCCCACCTGCCTGGTCTGCGCGTGCAGGTTAGCATCTCGGCCAGCTCAGCAACCCCGAATGCCCCCAGAAAAGCCGTTTCCCACTCTGCCCCGAGTGCTGGTGGGGTTGGGAGCTGCCTGCTGGTGCCCTGCAAAGTGACCAGGTGCTTCCTCTGTGGGCGGGAGCCGGGGGCCCTTCTGGCCTCTGCAGGCCCCGGAGCCCAGAGCCCGCGCCTGAGGGCTCCCTGCTGTCTCCCTGCTGCCCCCCACTAGGCTGCGTGGCTCGTTTTCTTACCTCGTCCTGACCTGGTGCTTCTAATTCCTTCCTGCCCCAGCCCCTGCCCCCGCCCCCCAGGGGTTTTAAACCTGTGGGTCAAGTGTCTACAGCAGCGATGGCCAGAGGGCTTGACTTTCCTCTTTATAGCGGGAAACTACCTCACACGATCTGGGGGGAGGATTTTTCACCGCGGATGTAAGGAACCCCCCTTGTGAACCGGGGGGAGCGGTGGCTGCGTTAGAAGACGGCGAGGCAGGTGCTGTTTGCTTTGGTTTGGGGGTCTCCGGGCTCACGAGGTCCTGGAGGGACAGAGCCAGGAGCAGCAGCGGGTGCTCCAGGCTCCCCCACCCCACCCGGCAGGACAGGGGCTGGAGGGTCCCTGTGGGAACGGTTAGCACCTGCTCTTGGAGGCGGTGATGGGGGCCTGGTTTCTCTCCTGTGACTGTCCTGGGGGCTGGTGTCTCTTTTGGTTGCCCTGAGGAGGCCTGAAGTTGCAGGGTGTCGGGCTGGAGCCAGCACCCGCCAGCCACCTGCCACCTGCCCGGCACCCATGCCGCGTGGACTGTTAGCGTGCGATGGGGTCCCCCCCTTTCCTCCCTGCAGTGGGAGCCTGGAAGGGCCTGTGCGTTTAGAAGAGCGGCCACGTTTCCCAGAGGACTCTGAGTCACAGCCGCGGCGGCTGGCCACCTGTCGGGGCTGGCGACTACGCCCAGCTCGGGTGAGGTGAACAGACGGACCCGAGGCAGACGAAGTCCACTCCTGGACGCAGGCGGGGCTCCTGGTGGCTTGTCTTGGAACCTGCATCGTGGGCACGGGTGGCCTCTGCTGGGAGGCCTGGGCTGGCCGGTGCGCTGGGGCCGTGGGGCTCGGACCTCACGTCGGGCTCTGTCGTCCTGGCCTGTGTGTCTGCGGCAGCCAGCGCTCCAGGGATGGGGCCCAGTCCTCCCCGTGACCCTGCCCTGCCCGGCGGGGTTCAGAGTGACCTGTGGTCCAGCCCGCCTGTGCTCAGCCCACTTCAGGAGTCCCCGATACGAGTGTGCGAGATGCCCACAGAGATGCACATTCCAGAGCTCCTGTCCCCAGGGTGTCTCCGCCGCGAGATCAGCTTTATCACCAACCACCTCACGTGGTGGCTCTTGCAGTGGCCGGCCCGCCCTTTCTTCTGGGTCACCCGTTGGTGCCTGGGTCATCCCAGGGCCTGTCGGGGATCCGGGAGCTGCCTGTGAAGGGCGGTCCAGGGCTGTGCCCCCCACCCCCAGGTCGGAGGAGCGGCGGGTTTTCCGAACACTCAGGAAGATTGTCTGAAGCAGAAACACAAGTGCCTACTTTTATAGGGACGCCCTCAAGGGTCTGGCACCCTCTGTGCTCCTCGGGGTTTTCTCTGCTCTTTCTGGCCCCGGGGGAGGCTGGGCCAGCTGTGGGGCAGTACAGGTGGTCTGGTGCAGGGGGCATCTCCACGTGTGACCTTGGAGCGCATGCCCTGGTGCCCCTGGTGCCGGGCTGGGGGGCGGAGAGGGAGCCTGCATCCCCCTTCCTGGTGTGCGTGCAGGGGTGAGAGACCCCTGCCCGGGAGACCTGGCTGGCTCCTGGGCCCCAAGTGTAGCGTGAACACAGTGTGGTCCCCTGAGGTGGACGTGTGTGCAGGACACGGAGCCCAGGGCTGGGAGTGGGCTCTGGGGACATGGGGACCCTTTGCGTCGTGGGATCCAAGAACAGAGCTGGGGGAGGCCTCTGGGGAGGTGGGTCGTTGGTCCTCTGTGCCCTGCACTGGGCAGCGTTCCCAGGGCTGGGGCGAGCTCCGGGGGCTGGAAAGGCCTGTCCAGAGCCTGCCCCGGAAGCCCGTGCGCCTGTGCCCCGGATGCGACGGCTTCCTGTTGCATCACTGCTCCCCCGTCTGGCCGACGGTTCCACGGGGCCCCTGGAGTGTTCAAGGGCCGCCCCAGGACCTGGTGACTCCTGGGACCCCCCTCCACTCCCGTGGAAGCCCCGGCCTTCTTGCAGCTGCACCTCAGCCCTGCCCTGCCAGTCCCATTGCCCCCACAGACGGACCCGCCAGCCTGGCTCCTTGGGGGGGTGCTCTGCTCCGTCCCCTAGCAGGCGGCCCGTCCCCTAGCAGGCGGCCCGGTCCTGCTCCTGGGGCCTGGTGGGGGGCGCCCTCTGCCCTCCTGGTCCTGGCTGGGGAGGGGCCCCCCCGCGGTCACCTCATCCTGGGGGCTGTGGGAGCGCTTCCTGCTTGGACGGTCTCTGGGAATCTGGTGGCTCTTCCTCGGGGTTGTGGCCCCCCCTCAGCCCCGCACAGCTGGCCTCACATCCTGGGAACTTTTTGTGCCGACTGCTGGGAACTGGACGGAGGATGGAGGGGATGGGGGGGTGGTCCCAGACCCTGGAGGGGCCTCCATGCTCCGCAGCCTTGAACAGCGCACGGATGTGAGCGGAGCTGTCCCAGCATCCTGCAGGCCGGCCCTGCCTCTGCCCTGCGGAGCCGGAGCCTCGGGGCTCCTGGCTGCCTGCTTTTGACTTGCTGAGTTAAAAAGGGATTTACGGGCAGCCCGGGGTGGCTCAGCGGTTTAGCACCGCCTTCGGCCCAGGGGGTGACTCTGGGGTCCTGGGATCCAGTCTGCGTCGGGCTCCCTGCATGGGGCCTGCTTCTCTCTCTGCCTGTGTCTCTGCCTCTCATGAATGAATGAATGAATGAATGAATGAATGAATGAATGAATGAAATCTTAAAAAATAAAAAGGGATTTATGCCAATGCCGTGCAAAGCCAGTATTCTAGGTAGAGACATAGCAACAGCTGGACAGACAGACGCGGAACTGAGTCCTGTTCTTGTTAGAATAGGTTAGGGTCCTGGGGAAGGTCCCGTTCCCACGCCCGTGGGGCCTTCTGGACGGAGGGTTCTCCCCGCGTGACCCAGGCTCTAGCCGATGCTGCTTCTAGCCCTACCCGAAGTGCCCTTGGAGGACCCGGGGCTGGACAGTCCATCTGGCGGCCTGCGCCTCTGGCTGCCTCTCTTCAGGGGAGCCTTGGGCTGCCAGGGTCACCCCACACAGCTCCTGCTCTCCCTCTGCCCTTGTCGCCCACAGTCGGCTTTACTGCAGGCCCCATCTGCCGTGTCCCCAGAGATCAGCGGCAGTTGGGGTCACCAGCCCCCCATGGACGGCCCGTACAGTGGCCCGGTGTGTGCCTGGCGTCCCAACCGGGACTCCCCCGGCCCTGAGCTGTGGTGGGGCCGGGTGACACTACGGTAGTTCCGGCTGGGTGCCGTGACGCAGGACGCCGGCTACACCCCGGGACCTCTCCTGCCGGGGAGTCGGGCCCAACCGGAGCCACGGCCGCCCACTTGAGCACGTGCGAGGAGTCTGGTGTGCCTGGGAGACTGGATTTTAAGTTGTGTTTGGTTTGAGCTGGTTAATATTTAAGGACCCCCCTGCCCCCCCGTGGCTGGTGAGGTACGGGGTGAAGCAGCCTGGGCTCGGTGGGCCTGGCGTCTCGGTTGTTAGGAGCTCCAGGCGATTCTCGGGTGTGGGGCTCGTGGGGCCCCTCCCTGTGTGGACGTAGAATCCTAACCCTGTGAGGGGCCGGGGAGTTTCCGGGGAGGGCGGGGGGGCCCATGGGGTGCGGGGGGAGCTGCCCTGACTCTTGGCTCCTCTTCCAGGACCAGCATCGCCTCCTCCGGGGCTGCGGGGGGCCCGGGCAGCATGGTGCCCTCCGGCCCGCTGGTGCAGAAGCAGGCGGCCCCGGAGCCCGGGCCGGACGCGGAGCGCAAGCCCTGGCGGTGCCTGGTGTTCTACTTGTGCTTCTACGGCTTCATGGCCCAGCTGCGGCCGGGGGAGAGCTTCATCACGCCCTACCTCCTGGGCCCCGATAAGAACTTCACGCTGGAGCAGGTGCGTGGGCGCGGCAGGTGGGGCGAGCTCAGGGGCGCTCCCTGGCCTGGGGCAGCCGAGCCGGCGAGGTCAGGTGGCCGCGTGGTGTTGGGGTTCCCGCCGCCCGCCCCCCAAGGGGCACCTTCACACCCGGGCCTGTTTGCGCGATGCCGGGTGCAGACGGGGTTCGCACCTGCTGAGGGTCTGAGGGACGAGTGCGGGGAGGAGGCACCGTACCCCACACCCTGCCCCCCTGCCCCCGCGGCCTCCCTGGGGGGAGGGCTTCCTGCACAGACCTCAGTGCCCTTTGTCTGAAGAGAAGACTCAGGAATGTTCCTCATACTTGCTGGCTCAGGGCAGCCAGGTCTCCTCGCTGAAACCTGGCTAATGACTTACACCCTGGGGCCGGGGAGGAGGGGGGGCCGGGAGGAGCGGGGCCGCGGCGTCATCCCTGCTGCTTCCCTCCTGTGGAGCCAGAGAGCCGCGGGGCTGCTGCGTGACCCGCAGGTCGGGCCTTCTGTCCAGGGCTGCTTTCCCAGCTCCCAGCTCCCAGCTCGGGGCGCCCCCGCCCCCCGGCCCCGCTCGCCGCCCCCAGCCTCGTCTTCCCCTCCAGCCTGTGCACCGTCCGCACCCACATCTCTGCTGCTGGGTTTCTCCGGACGCCCTGCCTTTCCCCGAGGGCCTGACCCCTTGCCCTGCAGACGTCAGGATTCCGTGAGGCCCGGCCCTCGGAGGGGCCGTCTCAGGGAGAAATGGAAACGCGCGTGTCTGGCTCACGGGAGCTCACACCCCGCGCGTGTGTGTGGTGGCATCTGATGCCGCGGCCGCCGCTGACTGCGAGCTGGTCACCTCTGGGCCTCCTCCGAGGAACCCGTCCCTCGCCTCCCTCGCTCACCCACGGGCCGGGGGCTTGTCCGCGCCGGGGGTCACTTAAGGGAGAAGCACGTAGGTGCAGCTCCGTGAAAACTGGAGAAACGTGCAGCAGTTCGGGAGGCACCTGCGCGCTCAGGCTGCAGGGGAAGTGGCCCTTGAAGAGCTCGGGCGAGGGGAGCCCACCCCCGTGCTGTGACTCTTGGCTTCCCTAGAACTTGGCAGCCAGCCTAGTGCCGACCAGCAGCCGAGCCCACGACGTAATCGATAACGTGGTTCACGGGGCACGTGCGTCACACGCCGTGTGTTCTCGTAGTAACGTGAGCTAGAGGAAGAGGAAACCCCGTAGTTCCAAACGGCCGTCGTGGGGAACCACGTGGATGTAAGTGGACCCCGTGGTGCGGGGTGTTCAGCTGTCCAGCGTGGTCGGTTCCAGAACCGAGCCGCCCCAGCGGCCCCGGGGATGTCCTCGGAGGGACGGCAGAGGCTGGCCGCGTGCCCACGGGGAGGGCCGGGCGTGCGGGGCGGAGCCGAGGCCTCGCTGGCGTGTGCCACGCACGTCCAGGCCACCCTGACCTCCGCGCACCCGGGGCTGGACCACGGGTCGCCTGGTGCTTAGGCGGCCTCTGGTTTGTCACCCCAGGGAATCGCCGCTGCGGGTGTCACCGGCACGGCCCCCTGCTCCCGCCGCACGCGTGGCTGCCTTCCCGTCTCCCGGGCCAGCGGGGATCCGCTCTGCTGAGTCTGCCCATCTGATAGCTGGGAAGGGCCAACGTGCCGCTGGCTTGTGTTTCCCTGGTGTGCGCCGTGGCCGGCGGGCCTGGCCGTCCCTGGCTGTCACCTACCCGGTGTCGCTGCCCGCTGGGCTGTCTCTGCGGCCTGCCCTAGGGGCCCGACTGCCTGACGTCACCTGTTTCTCCCAGGCTGGGCCGGGCCCATCGCTTTGCTCGGGCGTCCTGTGACGCCGGGGTGTGGAGTTCTGGTCGCTCGGGGTCCTTGCTGCCCACCCCTCCCCCACCCCACCCACACCCGCCGGCTGCTTTCTGGGGCCCAGCCAAGTCTGCCCGTCAGAGAAGCGGCTGCCCTGAAGCCACCTGGATGCGGATCTGGGCACCGATCCTGTGTTTTCCCGTCAGCCTGGACCTGGCCCGTCCACACAGCAGGGTGCTGGGAACCCGTCCAGGCGACACTGGGCTCGGGCCAGTCGGAGGCTGTCCTTGTGCCGCTGCCTGGCCACTTGACGGATGCCACCTGCCCCAGGGCCTCGGGGTGCCACTCCCCAGCACCGTCCAAGGACGACACGGGTCAGCCGCGTCTGCTGCCAGTTTGCCTGCCCAGCCTGGGGAGCCCGCTGAGGAGGAGGGAGGCGGGTAGCCGGTCCTCCTGGGTCTCCGGCCCGTGGGCTCTGGTAGCGAACCATGGAGTGTTGTGGCGGAGGGGCTGTTTGATGTTCCTGGACACCGTGCTCACGGGCTGGACCCCGCAGGTCCCGGTGCCCCGCGTGGGGTACTCGTTCCCCTGGGACGACCTGCGCTCGGCGTCTCCGTGTCCCGGGGTGTACGCGCACACTGTCGTGAGGACCACGCCGTGCGGTCACCTGGGCTCCCCTGTGGCTGCGCAGGTTCAGGAGGCCGCCGGGCAGGGGCCGTGTGTCAGCAGGTCCCGACAGCGTTCCTCAGCACCCGAGGCTCGTCCACGCGGGCCCAGTCTGGGGTCCTGGGCACAGCCCCAGGAACGCTGCTTCACACTCATCCTGCGACCACCTGAGGCCAGGCAGGCAGGGGTGCAGACACCCCGGGACGGGCACGGGTCCACCCAGCGGCCCCGAGCCTGTAGGTGGCGGGCACGGCACAGCCCCACTGCTGACCCAGGGCTGTGCTAGGGCGCTCGGTGTGCTCGTGGGGGCCGAGGGCGGCCTGGGCTCCGGGATGCTCCGTGGGCAGGTCGGGGTTCTGCCCGGGAGATCCGATCGTGGCCGGAGCCACTTGGTGGGGTCCGGTGGTGGGCGGGGACTGGGCTCCCCTGGGTGTGCCCTGCGCCCGGGGACGGAACGGGCTGGCTGCGGGCCCCCGCCCCGTGGCCTGCCCGCCGCCCGTTCCCCTCGTGGCTTCTCCCCTCCTCCTGCTCCGAAACCCGTGGCCTGAGGCCCTCCTCCCCGGGAGGGCGGCGTGTCAGCGCGAGCGAGGACGGTCCGTGCCCCCCAGGAGAAGCCTGTCACGTGGTCGTCTCCTGAGGGAGACCTAGGGTGGCGCACGTCCCGCGTCCCCCGCGGTGGCGAGCAGCTGGCCCCCGGCGCGGCCCCGGAGGCGGTGTCCCGAGCCTGCCGTCCCACAGGTCACCAACGAGATCACGCCGGTGCTGTCGTACTGCTACCTGCTGGTGCTGGTGCCCGTGTTCCTGCTCACCGACTACCTGCGCTACAAGCCGGTGCTGGTGCTGCAGGGCCTGAGCTACGTGGCCGTGTGGCTGCTGCTGCTGCTGGGCACGTCGGTGCGGCACATGCAGTGCATGGAGCTCTTCTACAGCGTCACCATGGCCGCGCGCATCGCCTACTCCTCCTACGTCTTCTCGCTCGTGCGCCCCGCCCGCTACCAGCGCATGGCCGGCTACTCGCGCGCGGCCGTGCTGCTCGGCGTCTTCACCAGCTCCGTGCTGGGCCAGCTGCTCGTCACCCTGGGCCGGGTGTCCTTCTCCACGCTCAACTACGCCTCGCTGGGCCTCCTCATCTTCAGCCTGGTCCTCGCCCTGTTCCTGAAGCGCCCCCGGCGCAGCCTCTTCTTCAACCGCGACGCCCCGGGCCGGAGCGGGGCCTCGCCCTCCGAGCTGGACCGCATGAACCCGGACGCCCCGCGGGGCGCGGCGCTGCTGGGGGCCTGGCGGGACTGGACGCTGGTGCGCATGCTCCGGGAGCTGGGGGACAGCCTGCGGCAGCCGCAGCTGCGCCTCTGGTCCCTCTGGTGGGTCTTTAACTCGGCGGCCTACTATCTGATCGTCTACTACGCGCACATCCTGTGGAACGTGGTCCACACCACCACCGTCTACAACGGCGCGGCCGACGCCGCGTCCACGCTGCTGGGTACGCCCCCGGCTCCCCGCCCCCCCGCACCCCCGCCCGCACCCCCCCCCCCCGGGTGGCCCTGACGCGCCCTGTCTCCCCAGGTGCCATCACCTCCTTCTCCGCGGGCTTCGTGAAGATCCGCTGGGCGCTGTGGGCGAAGCTGGTGATCGCGAGCGTGACGGCGGTGCAGGCGGGGCTGGTGTTCCTCATGTACAGCACGAACAGCATCTGGCTGTGCTACGTGGCCTTCGTGCTCTTCCGTGGGGCCTACCAGTTCCTGGTGCCCATCGCCACGTGAGTCGACCCGCGGGGGCGTCTGGTGAGGCCACGGCCTGCGTGTCCCTGCGGCGCCAGGCCCAGGAACGGGCGGAGCCGGGCAGCCGGAGGCCACGCTCCTCCCTCCCGTGGGCGGGGGCGGACGGACAGACCGCCCGCGTCTGCTGAGAGGCGCCCCTTCCAGGATATTCCGCGTGGCCTCCGTGGGGGCAGCAGAAGGGGAGCGTGCGGGCGGCGTGAGCCGGTGGGGTGTGCACTTGCTCACGTCCGGAGGGCGGTGACCAGGGTGCCGTCAGCTGGGCCCCGGTGTCCGCCGTCCTCGGCGCAGCCCGTCCTGGCTTCCGTGGCCCTGAGCCGGGCACACAGCCTGGCCCGGGTGCCGTCCTCTCTGCTGCCCCCATGGAGGCCACGTGGCGTCCACAGCAGCAGCCCCGGCGCCGCCTCACCGATGCCAAGCGCTGTGGGCCCGTCCGCGGTGCCTGAGGCCTGTCTGGTCCTCGTCGCGGCGGGGCAGGGACGCACGGCCGGGGGATGGTGGCCAGCCGTCCAGCTCGCCCTCCACCCAGGGCCCTCCCGGTGCCCTCGCGTTCCTTGCACCCCCGGGATCTCTTCCCGCCCAGGGATGTCCCCAGAGCTGCCCTCGGCCCACCCGTGCCCTCCAGAACCTTCTCCGGCCCACGTCCTGCTTGCTGCCAAGTTTCTCTTTGCTCCTTGAACCGACCCTTTCACGAAGCTGATACCCCACGTGCCCTGTTACACGCGTGTGCCCCCTGTGCCGGCGGGTGTGCCTGGTGTGTGACGCCCCTTCCCCCGCTGCCGGCCCCGTTCCCCTCTGCGCCTCACCCCTGGGGACAGCAGGGCCCTCCTGGTCGCCCCGGGCTCCCCGCGGCTTGGAGCCGCCTCCCAGAAGTGCCAGCCGGGCACCCCTGTGCTGTCCCCGGTGGCGGGGAAGGGCTCCGGGCCGGCGGCTGTGACTGCGGCCACTGGCTTTACGTCCTCCTTGGACGTTTTGTCATCTGCAAAAAACGCTGAGAAGGTCACGCGACGTAGGCGGCAGGTGCAGGGGGGAGGAGACGCCTCCCGCTCCCCCCGAGCCTCGCTGCCGCAGCCAGGTGTCTGGCATCATGTGTCTGGCCTGGCGCAGGTCGCACTGCCCCCCCCCATCCTGCCCACGTGGCTGTGGTGGGGTCACGAGCAGGTGTCACTGGTCCCCTCCCCGAGGCCCCCGGTGACCGGGCTGCCGTGTGCCAGGTTTTCCCCCCACGGCCCTGAGAGTGGGATCTTGTCGCTCGTTTCTTCATGTTGGGACAACGGCCTCAGAGGGGTCCTGGAAGGGGACAGGCCGGGGCGTGTGCCTTGGAAAGGGGGTGCTGGTAGATACGGGGCACGTGCGTGGTGGGCCCAGCGGCCTTCCGTGGGGACAGCGGGGGTGGCTCCCCCTGGGCCCGTGGCCTCGTCCGCTGGCTCCCCTGCGCTCGGGTCAGTGGCGTGCGGGGGGAGCCTCCCGTGGGCCCCGCGGCTCCCCTGGGTTTGTCCCGCTTGGGGCCGGGGGCACCGGGAGCCGCGCAGGGGGCGGCGTGGCCTCTGCCTGTGGGGACGCGCCTGCCGGGGCCTCCCTGGGACGTCAGCTGTGCCCTCTTGGCCTCGCTCCCCCGCCCTGCTCGGCCTCTGTCCCCTGAGAGGCCTCCGGGCACGTCCGCTCCCCGCCTTGCAGGGCTTCACAGGGTCTCTGCCGTTACTCGTTTCTAGAGGCGCTTTGGGGCTTTTATTTTTATTTTTTTATTTTATTTTATTTTTTTGCTTTGGGGCTTTTAAAGGGAAGGACCTTCAGACGTTCATTTCTGTGCACAGGACGCAGAGCTGGGTGCGCGCTCCTTCCTCCTGCCTCGATTTACCCTTCTGTTCTCATCGAGTCACTTAATGACGACCCTGCTTCCAGAACCCTCCGCGTGGAGCGCTGCGCGCTCTCATGAGGATGACCACCTCTGTCCCAGAACTACCGGGACCCGTTTTGAACGTCCTCCGGGGGGGTCCTGGTCTCAGAGTCACGGGGCCCGGAGTGCGGGTGGCCTGGGTGCCGGCCCGTCCTGCCGCTCCCCCTTAGTGCTGGGGCGCTTCTCGTTCCCCCGCTGAGCCTGACCTCGGCCGCTTTCCGTTCAGTTTTCAGATCGCGTCTTCCCTCTCTAAGGAGCTCTGTGCCCTGGTCTTCGGGGTCAACACATTCCTCGCCACTGTCCTCAAGACCATCATCACCCTCATTGTTTCTGACAAGCGGGGCCTGGGCCTCCCGGTCCACTCGCAGGTGAGCTCGGTTCAGCCCCACTGCCGGGTGGGGGGAGCCCCTGGGGCCGGGGGGGTCTGGCCAGTGGCGTCGCCCACCCCAAAGGTCTGGACCGTGGAGGGTGGGGACGTGCACAGGGTGGGCCGGGCATTTCCAGCCAGACACGCAGACTGGAGCGGGAGCAGGAGCAGGAAGCCCCGAGCCGGGAGGGGAGGGGAGGGGAGGGGAGGGGCAGGGAGGGGATGCCCTGTGGGCCCCTGAGGCCGGGGCCCAGGTGCGGTCCTTCCTGGAGGATCCCCGACCGCCCCGTCTGCCCCCCGGGCTGGCCGACGTCTCGAGGGCTGGCCGCGTGGCCGGGAGCCCTTTCCCGTGAGGTCACACTCACTGCCCTTTGCGTCAGAGCCTGTCGGACCTGGGCCCCGGCTCACGGGTCTGCTACACACGAGCCAGGAAGGTGGACCGGGCGGGGTCGACGCTGGTGTACGCTGGGCCCTCTCCGGTCCCTTCCCCCGAGCCACCCGGAGCGGGTTCTCAGTGCCTTAAGCTCAGAGAAAAGCTTAAAAGTTCCTGCTCCCTGTGGGGTTGGGGACACTCACCCGTGTCACTCGGTGGTCTCGGCCCAGGTGGGGCGTCTCGGGGCCGGCGGGAGTCAGCAGGGAACAGCGTGCAGGAGGGGCGGTGACCCCACCTCGTGGTGGCCCTGACCTGTCCGGGGGCCGGGCAGTGGGCCTAGAAGCCGGGAGGGGGCCTGGGCCGTCCCACGTGGTGGCTCCCGGACGTGCCGGGTCAGGTGGACAGAAAAGACGTTGGTCTGCCCCTGCTGGTCTCGTTTCCCAGTTAGAAAACAAACCTAGGAGCGGGCGGTCAGCTCACGATTGGACATGCTGACGGGAGCCACAGGGAGCGGCATCCCCGCCTCTTGCTCGCCGTCCCCGTTCACGGCTGGGAGCTCTTCGGCTCGTCCCGAGTGCTCTTGACCTTAAAGTCAGAACAGCAAAGAGGGGCGTATCCTGGGATGACAGAGAGCTGTGGTTCAGGACGGTTCAGGCCGAGCCCCAGCAAGGGCCCGCAGAGGCCGGGCGGGGTCCCCGGGCAGCAGGGTGCGGTCAGGGCGCGTGGAACCAGCGTCTTTCGGGGGAAGCAGGAAATCAGGGTGACGCCCGTGTCTGGGCTCCCGGGTCGCGGGGCTGCAGGGACTCCACGGACCCTCCCCCCCCTGTGGGGACCTGTCCCTGTGATGCTCTCCTGGGAGGGTCCTTCTGTGATGTGGTTGGGGGCTGGAGGCAGGACCCCTGTGGCCGGGAGACCCCGCTGGGCGACGGTGGCCTTCGTTAGCCCTCACGGTGGTGAGGAGCCGGCGCCCGGGCTGGAGACTGGTGGGGACTGGGGTGCAGCAAGTGGGGGCAGGCCCGGCTTTGCTTGGTTCTTGCTTGAGGCCTTCAGAGTGGTCCCAGGTGGTGTGGGAGGTGACGTGGGCTCGCGGACTGACTGCACACAGGTGGGGGATCCCCGTGCCCTCCCTGCCCGCCCGCCCTTTCTGCCCTTCCCCTTCCACGGGTGTCATTCACAGGGAACGGCCATCTGTCACTGCGGGGTGGGCTTTCTCAGCCTGCGCCCTGAGCTCCACGGGCTCACTGCGTGGGTCCATCCCACGCTCTGCTGGGAGGCGGGCCCGGCTGTTGCACCTGCCCCCCGAGGAGGCCCCGGCAGGCTCCCAGTTTCTGGCTGTTGCGATTAAAGGTGCTTTAAACACTGGACGTCACCTCCCGCTTGTGTGGACAAGTGCCCAGAGGTGGGGGCGCGTCGTTTGGAAGTTGGTGCTGAGCTGTTTTCCTGGGTGGCGGCTCCGTTTTTGTCCCTACGGCAGGTCGCGGGGCGCGCGTTTCCCCTGGTCCTCAGGAGGCGGTGGTGTGGGCCGGATGCTCCCCCGGCCGTCGGATGGGCCTGGGCGCCGCTGGTGGCTGTTGGTCTGCCTCCGATGGCACCACGGCACCTGCACGCCCTCCACGAGGCGTCGCTCGCCCGTGCCCATGCCCGTTGGGTGGCTCGTGTTCTCACTCCTGAGCTCTGGGCAGGTCTGCTCTGCGCACGAGTCCGATGTTGGACATTTATGGCCCCTCGAGCAACACGGTGTGGAGCGCGTGGACTTTGTCCGGCTTCGGCGTTGTGGATGTTCTTGTTACGGTTTTCCTGGTGTTTCCTGGAGCTCCTCGTCCGAGCATGGCGTAGTGGACAGCCTACCGCGTCGCCGTGTTGACTGCTGAGCTCCCGGCCCACGGTCGGGTACTCGTGCTGGAGCTCTGGGGGGCTCAGGACGCACGTGGTATCTCTAGCTCCTGCACGTCTCAGGGTTCACACACCTTCCCCGTAGCTGCCGCCCGGCTTCCCCTCCTCACAGGGTATCTGCAGAACAGAGCTTCAGTTTTGGTGATTTTGGTGAAGTTTGATCTGTTTCTTCCTTTTATGGATCAGTCTGGGTTTTGCCCCTAAATATAAGAACTTTTCACATAACCCAGGCTCTCAAAAATTTTCCCCAATATCTTTTTTGAAGTTTTATGGCTTGGGGGCACGTGGTGGGCTCCGTTGGCAGAACATGGAAACTCTTCATCTGAGGGCTGTGAGTTCCAGCCCCACGTTGGGTGGAGAGATCACTGAAATAAATAAATGTAAATGGGGCTCCTAGCCTGGCTCAGGCAGTCAGTCATCGGAATCTTTATTTTTTTTTTAAAGATTTTATTTATTTATTCATAGACACACAGAGAGAGAGGCAGAGACACAGGCAGAGGGAGAGGGAGAAGCAGGCTCCATGCAGGGAGCCCGACGTGGGACTCGATCCCGGGTCCCCAGGATCACACCCCAGGCTGCAGGCGGCGCCAAACCGCTGCGCCACCGGGGCTGCCCCAGTCATCGGAATCTTGATTTCCGCTCGGGTCATGATCTCAGGGTCATGAGATCGAGTCCTGCATTGGTCTCTGCGCTGGGCGTGGAGCCTGCTTGAGGTTCTCTCCCCCTCTGCCCCTCATCCCCCTCCCTTTCTAAAAAAAAACAACCCATAGGTTTTATAGTTTTTGGTTGTTTTTTTTTTTAAGATTTTACTTATTTATTATTGAGAGATACAGAGAGAGAGGGAGAGACACAGGCAGAGGCAGAAGCAGGCTCCATGCAGGGAGCCCGATGCTTGACTCGATCCCAGGTCTCCAGGATCACACCCCGGGCCAAAGGCAGGCACCAAACCGCTGAGCCACCGAGGCGTCCCGAGGCTGCTGTTGTGACATTTGCATCGAGTGCTATGCATTTCCCTCCCACGGCTGCCTTAGCTGCATCCCACAGACCCGAGGGTTGCATTTTCGTTTTTGTTCATTCCCGTGCAGCTTCCGCCGTCTCTACCTATAATTATTTCAAAGGGTTTTGTTTATTTTTCCAGTTGTTTTCTTGTATCTTTGTTACTGATTCCTATTTCTGTTCTATTTTGTGATCAGAGAATACAGTCTATCTGATTTCAGTCCTTTTAAATTTGTTGGGGTTGGTTTTAAGGCCCGGGATGTGGTCCGTCTTGTTACGTGTTACGTGGATCCTCGAAAAGGCTGTGAATCCTGCTGTTGTCGGGCAGAGTGTTTTATAAATTCCACTTAGATCCTGTCGTTGATTCGTTCTCTGTCCTTGTGATTTTTGTCTCATTCCATTGTTGGCAGAGGGGTGTTGGCATCTCCATCTTTGCGGATTTGGCTGTTTCTCCTCTCCGTTCCATCATGTTTTCGCTTCACAGTTTGCGGCCCCTTTTGTTTGTTGCACACGCCCTGGGAATTGCTGTGCGTTTCGACGGCCTGAGTTTCTGATCTGATCGTTCCGGAATGGAAAGTCCTTCTCCGCCTCTGGTCATTTTCTTTTCTCTGAAGTCTACTTTTCCTGAGTTAACGTAATGTTTGCGTGATAATATTCTCTCCTGCCCCTTTACTTGTTACCCGACTGCATCGCTGTATTTGAAATCAGTTTCTTGTAGGACCACACATGGTTGAGTCATGTTTTCTAATCTATTCTGCTAACATCTGTCTTAACTGGTGAATTTGGTCCATCTACAGTTAGTGTAATGGTTGACGTGTTCGAGTTCTAGGCCGCCCTACCATTTTTGCTTTGCTTCTCTCTGCGTTTTACTTTTTTATGCCATCCTGTGGACTGTTGGCACGTTCTGCAGGATTTCACTTTGGTTAATCTGTTGTGTTATTTGAGTGTATCCCTTGATATAGCTCTTTTGACGGGGGTTTTATGCGTTAAATGACCATTGTGAGTCAAGTATAGACATGTCACCTCCTCCTCCTGTCCATACTACAGTTGTCTTAAGCGTTTTCTCCATGTACCAGTACAGCCACATGACGTGGGTTCTGACTTTTGCTTTGACCATCAAACATTTAGAGAATTCTAGCGGAGAAGGGAAGTCTTGCATTGACGTGTGGTTTGACTCACTGTGTTATTTCTCTTTCCCTTGGTCCGGGGTTTCTCCTTTCTGCATAGAGCACCTGCTATAAGCCATTCTTTTAGGGTCTGTTGGCTGGTGACAAATTTGTCTCTTAGTTTGTCCTTTTTCAGAGAGCATCATGATTTTCTTTTTAGTCCTAAAGAGGATCATCCCTGGATATAGGCATCTACGTTAATGGTTTTTATCTTGTAACTTTGAAAACCGTTTCCCTTCCTTGTGGTCTTCGTGGCTTCTGATGAAAGATCCACTGTCACTTTTTTCCGGCTGCTTTCACAATTTTTCCTTTCTTTGCCTTTAGCTTTCAGAAGCTTAAATACAGTGTTTGTGGTTCCTTTGTGTCTCGAATCTGTAGGTTTATGTCTCTTACCAAATTTGGGGAGTGTTCAGCCACTATCTCCTCAAGGACTTTCCCAGTCCCGTCCTCTTTTTGTGGGATCCCCGTGACACGGCGTCACATGTTGTCATAAAAGGCTCTGCTTCCGATTGGGCGATTTCCGTCGCCCCATCTCCCAGCTTTCTCTGTCCCTTCTGTTCTGCTGTTGGGGCCATTCATGGAGTTTTTAGTTGGGTTCTTGCATTTTCAGTTCTGTTCTTTATCTCTTATATTTCTTAGAGGTTTTCCTCTGTTCCCAGTGTGCTATTGCTTGTCGAAGCATTTTCGTCTTGGCTGCTTTAGTCTTTCTCCGATCCCTTAACGTCCGTGTCATCTCAGTGTCCCTGTCTGTTGCCCGTATCCATCCAGTTAGCGATCTTTGTGGTTCTAAGTAGGCTGAGTGATCGATTGAAACATGGACGTTTTGGACATTATGGTGTAAGATCTGGATCTACTGCAGCCGTCCACTTTAACTGGCTTCGCCTGACGCTGCTCTAGCAGAGGAGGTTGGGAACGTGTGCCCTGTTACGCCAGGTAACAGGCTCCCGACTCAGCCCTCCTGACCGAGGGGTGGAGGGGGGGCTCCTCATTACTGCTGGGCAGGGACCGGCCTCCAGTCTCCAGCAGTTAGGAGGGGCCTGAGGGCCTTGTTATTGCTTCCCACATGGCCTGCAGTGACCCCGCCGGGGGTGCGGTGTTCTTGCTGCCTCTGGGTGACAGTAGGTCCTCACTCCGCAGGGTGGGGGCTTGGGGAGAGTGAGAGTCCAGGCTTCTGTGTGGTCTCTGCACCCACTGCGCCTTGAGCACCACCACCTGCAGGGGCCTGGGTCCTGGTTCCAGTCTGGGCAATGAGGGTGGGGTCTGGCTGGGGTCAGGTGGTCCACCTGTCCATTCCCTGTCCTGCTGGCCTGTTCCTGTCCTCGTCCTTTGGTCAGAAGAACAGCTTTTGTTGGAGTTTATTTCCTTCATCAGCTGGCTTTTCTGGATTGCTGGTTTCTTCATTTCTAAAAATAAGCACAGCACGAAGTTAAAGCCCAGGGGACGCCCTGCTGCGTTCTCCTCGGCCTCCCGCGCTCTGGCAGGTGTACTGCCCACCACCTTTCTGAGCGACCTTCTTACATGTGTTCTGTGCGTAATGTCCAGGGTTTTAGCCACAGTCGGGGAGGAACGGGGAAAACCCGTCTGCTCCGTCCCCCGGGAGCAGAGTCCTGGAAGCCAGGGGCCTGCGGGCACAGAGTGCCACGGTCTCAGGCAGGACGCAGCCTGCCTGGCCCACGGACGCCGGAAACCACCCAGGACCCCGCCCCGGCAGTCACGCGAGTCAGGAGAGACGTCCCCAGCTGTGGGTGCCGTCCCTGGGGTGGAAACTGGCTTGGTGCTCGGGGCTGGGCTCGCCTGCGCTCCTGAGGGGCTCCCGCGCACAGAGCCCCGAGCACCGGCCGCCGTGGGAACTCAGCCCACCACGCGAGGCTCATGTTGTCAGAAAAGAACAGAGCGCCTTGGGGGGGCCGCACCGACATGGGGATGGCGCCAGGGTGGGCGCCCCCGGGGCCGTGGATGGGGGCGGGGGGCTGCTCCCGGCTGACCTCTGACCTCCACCCCCTCTGTTCTAGTTCCTCATCTACTTCGGGTACTTTCTCGTGCTGTTTGTCATCTACCTCTTGGGGGCCATGCTGGTGATTGTGCAGCACGTCCAGGAGGCCCGCCGTGCGCCCCCAGAGCCGGGCAGCCCTGCAGAGAAGGCCATGCCCATGCTGAGCACACACAGCAGTGGCCTCAGCGGCCTGCAGCCCACAGCCCCGCCACAGACCTCCCCGGAGCAGCACCCGCAGCCCGAGGCCAAAGCCTGACGCACCGCCACCGGGAGGCCAGACTCCTCCGACACCAGAGGCCACCCACCATCGTCCTCCACGCCCTGGGGCCTGCGCATCTCAGACCGGACTCCCCCACTGCCCCCGTGGCAGGGGGCCCACCCCTTGGGCGATGCCAGCGTTCAGAGCCACTGACTAACGGGGAGCCCTGCACGGCGCGTCCCTGTGACCTGCCCCTGGGGGGCTGCCTGCCTCAGGGGGGCCTTGGCTTGGGTGGCAGAGGCCCAGGGACTGTGCCCCTCTGCCCTGCTAGGTGCTGTGGCCCTGTCCCTGGCTTGCTGGGGACACTCAGGCAGCTGCCGGGCACTGTGGGCTGGTCTGCTGTCCCCTGCCCACATGTGGCGGGCGGGGGGAGCTCACGTGCCCACCAGGCCTCCCCACTGTCATCCCCCCCTTGGGAGACAGGCCCTGCTTATCCCTGGGGACCAGTGAGTGGCCCCAGACGCCAGCCCTGGGGACTCAGGCCCCGCTGGGCAAGGCTGTGGGTAAACAGATGAGGCCAGTTGTCTAGGTAGTTGCTTTAGATAAATGCTCTTTTTAAAAAAAAAAAAAAAGATCTAAATGAGAAACCATAATGAGCTCCTGTTTGTGTGGGAGAAGCCGGGCGGTGGCCTGTCCCTGTGAGGTGGAAGTGGGGACGCTGGGGCCCTGGACCCCGCTTCTCCCCAGACCCCCGGTCCTGCCCTACCTCACCCGGGATGCAGACCACCCCAGTGTGCCACCCCAGGGTCTCAGGGCCAGTCGTGTCCCTTTGGAGACCTGCGCTCCCTGATGTGGGTTAGAGTACGGGCCAAGCATGGAGGGGCTCCTGATCCTGCCCTAGCCTGACCTGTGGGGGTGGGCGTGTCAGGAGGACCAAGGAAGGGGCCCCAGCCACAGGCGGGGACCCACACTAGGCCCACGTGCCCTTGAGCCCAGCACGGCCTCCCCTGCACCCACTCCCTGGGACTTGATGCTGGAGCCTGCTGCACCCAGGGGTCGTGGGAGGGCTGCTTGGGTGGCTGGCATCTTAGGGAGGATGCTGTGCGGAGGGCAGGCAGGAGCATCCACATGCACAGGGCCCGGTGGGGGGGCAGCGCTGCACCCCTTCCTGCTCTGAGATGCAACAGGCCTTGGATTTGGGGGGCAGAGGAGCCGAGGCTCCCTTTCCCCTCCCGTCACTGACCCCAGATGCAGGGCCCCGCTCTGTGCCCCCTTTCCTGTTGCCTGGCGTCATAGCAGCCGTGGGCGGAGCACCTGAGTGGCCAGGAGTGCGAGCCCTTGAGGGCTGCCGGCCACCTCCAGGGAGACTCCCGAGGGAAGGTTTAGGGCACCCGAGCTCCCCTGTGCACCTGCTCCCGCACAGGCCCCACCGGCTGGGGTGAGGGCTCCCGAGGATCCGACACATGATGATGAGCTGCCTGCAAACCTAGTGGCCCTTTTTCCTTGGAGCCTGAGAAGCACATTGCAGTTTGCAGGAGCAGCTCCTGGGGTTTGCAGCGTCCAGGCCGCAGGGCTGAGGCACTTGGGTCCTTGCCCACTACGCACGGCCGCGGGTGGGGGCGGGACCCCTGCTGGCTTCCCCAGAGATGCTCAGGTGCACCTCAGGGCGGCCCCGACTCCCTCTGCGCGGCCTCCTCTGTTGGGGCTCAGCTGGAGGCAGGCGTGGCCATCGTATTTGCCTCTGGGTGTTTTTTTAAGATTTATTTTTTTAAAAAAAGATTTTATCTAGTTATTCATGATAGAGAGGCAGAGACACAGGCAAGAGGGAGAAGGAGGCTCCACGTGGGGAGCCCGACCTGGGACTCTATCCCAGGACCCTGGGGTCACGCCCTAGGCTGAAGGCAGTGCTAAACTGCTGAGCCACCCGGGCTGCCCTTAAGATTTAATTTTATTTGAAAGAGAGCAAGAGTGAGTACAAGCAGGGGAGGGGGAGGGAGATGCCCCGCTGAGCAGGGAGCAGGACTGGATTTCAGGACGGACCCTGAGGTCCAGAGGCAGACCTGTCACGGAGCCCCCCCCCCCCGACCTCTGGATTTCTGACCTCTGGTCTTGAAAAGATAACCTGGGACCTACTGGAGTTCTGGCCGGCAGCTGGAGGGGAGGGTGGGGGCTCCAGGATGTAGGGGCAAAGCTGGGCAAGCCTTTGGCAACCTAGGAAAGGAGCCCCGGTCACAGGTCAGAGCCCACCTTGCGGGTGAGAGGCCTCGGCTGGGTCAGCTCCATGCTGGGTGTGATCTCATGGGCCTGAGGAGCCCGGGGTCATTGGCGGGGGAGGCGCCGATGTCCCCCCCCCCCCCCGGACAGTGCACAGCTGGGGACAGAGGGCCCACTGCAGCTTCTGGAGCCCAGGGCTGGGACCAGGGAGCGAGGGCGGCCCCAGAGGACGGCCCGGGGCCAAGCACAGCTCCCTCCCCTGCAGGTGTGCACCCCCCGGGCTGCTTGGGGCCAGGGCCCGGCGAGGAGGGAACGAGCAAGAGTCTTGGCACCAGGTTTCGTCTTAAACTTTGTAAAAAATACACTCTTTGGCTTCCTTTTATTTCTTGAGGATTACATTAAGCGCGACCGCGCAGGAAAGTGTCCCGGCCAGGCCCCCCGGGGGCGGCGGATGCTCCCGCGGGCGCGCGGCCCTACTTGGAGAAGGAGGTCATGACGCTGTTCTCGATGCAGAGCACCACGAAGGCGCGGCGGCAGCTCGCGGCCTCCTGCTCCAGCAGCCTGCCCGCCAGCAGCGACGAGGCCTGCCCGGTGGCCGCCGGGGCCTCCGTCCGCCACGCCTCGCAGTAGCTGTCGGTCAGGCGGCGCCCGCTGGGGTCGGAGCCGTGCCACACGCTCTTCTGGGGCCTGCAACACGCCGCGGCCGCGCTCAGCCCAGGCCCGGAGCCCGGAGCGCGGAGCGCGGAGCCCGGACGCTGGGGCAAGGCGGGCGCTTCCCACCGGCCGGGGCCCTGGATGGATGCGGGGCTGGGAGGTGGGGGCGTGGCCAGCGACGGGGGCGGGGCCGGTGGATATGGGGCGGGGCCGCTGGGTGGGCGGGGCCGCTGGATGCGGAGTGGGTTAATGGGGGGCGGGGCCAGTGGACGCGGGGCTGCCGGATGCAGGGCGGAGCCACTGTGGTGGGCGGGGGCCTCGCAAGGGGGGCGGGGCCAGTGGACGCGGGGCGGGGCAACCGGGGGCGCGGCTGCTGGATGCAGGGCGGAGCCACCGTGGTGGGCGGGGCCTTCCACCGGGGGGCGGGGCTGACGGACGCGGGGCGGAGCCACCGGGGTGGGCGGGGCCTCCCACCGGGAGGGCGGGGCCGGTGGATGCGGGGCGGGGCCACGGAGGGCGGGCGACCCTGCACCCGGGGCGCCCCTCCGGGCCACACCCCCCGCCGCCGCTCCCGGGCGCACCACCCAGGCCTCCTGGGGGCACCTACCAGGCGGGGTGCTGCAGGACATCTCTGCCGTCGAAAGAGAAGATGCGGGCCCCGGGCTTCAGCTGGCCCTCGGAGCCCGAGAATAAGGCCTCCCAGCTGGGGAAGAGCACCTCGTCCTGGGGAGGGACATGCGGGGGGCTCAGTGCCCCTGGAGCTGTGCGGCCAGAGGGGCCCGGGCCCCAGCCCCAGCGCCATCCCCAGCGGCTGCACGGGAGGGCCCGGCGCAGGCGGGGGGCAGCGCGCGCACCCTGAGGTTGACGACGGGCACCCCGGTGCGGTCGGCGCGGCGCACGATGCTGTAGAGGTCCTGCAGCCGCGAGGACAGGAAGGCCCGGAAGGTGCCGGCCAGCCCCGCGGCGCGCGCCTGCTGGAAGCACTGGAAGTCCGCTCCCCGGATGCCTCGCATGCCGCCCGGCTGCGGGCTGTTCAGGGCCACCAGGTGCAGCTGCGGGGATCAGACGCGGTCCAGGCGGGTCCGGGCGGGTCCGGGCGGGAGCACCAGCCAGGCCCCAGGCGGCAGAGGCCCGTGTGCTGGGGGCCACCCGCCGACCACCCCACCTGCCCCAGGGCACGTCCCCGTGCTCAGGCTCTGCCGCCCTGACCTCCAGGGAGACAGCCAGGGGCTGGTGGGCCGAGCGCTGGTGGGTTCCGAGCCACCGCGGGGGCCACTCACCACCGGCTGGAAGTCCTGGTGGGTGTGGGTGTGGACGGGCCCGCCAGTGGGGCGAGCCGGCTGGAAGTACAGGTAGGAGCCGTGGTGCGGGGCCCCGGGGTAGGGCTGGGCGTCTGGCAGGCGCGGGGGGCTGGCCAGGATGTCATCTGCCCGCCAGGGCCGCGCCGTGGCGTGGGTGGGCTCCCGCCGGGGGTACGGGTTGCCCTCGTGCAGCTGCACCACGGGGGGCTGCAAGGCGGCCACTTCGTTGTCCTGCAGATGGAGAGGCCGACGGCGCCCAGTGGCAGGGCCGCTGACACCCGGACGCCTCCTCCTCTGCACCCGGCCCTGCTCTTGGTCAGCAAGGGGCCAGCCTGCGGGCGGTGAGCTGGGGGGCGCCCACGGACCCTGGGGTGCCCCGGGGAGTTAGGGCAGCAGCGGGGGCAGCGAGCCCCGCCAGCCTGATGCCTGGAGCGGCCCCCAGCCGTCCGGCTTGGCACCGCGGTCCCTGACCCTCCAGCCGCCTCGCCGTCAGACACCCCCACCCTGGCTCCCGGGCCCTCGCTCCACCCCACCCACCTCACAGAGGCCGCTGCCCTGGCGCCCAACACCTTCTGACCCTGCCCTCCGTGTAACCGCCTCCTGCTTCCCCAGTACCAGGGACCTGCTACCTGTCCCCCCCCCCCAACAGTGCCTGGTGGGTGGGAGGGGCCGAGACCCTGCTGAATGAATGAATGAATGAATGAATGAATGAGAGGGGACCCACTGGGCTCCACGCAGGGACAGACCCACAGAACCAGAGACACACAGCACCTAACGCAGCCCCGGTCCTGGCCTGTTTGAGGAAAGAGCCCAACTATCCGGGGCTCCATCCCCCAGGCAGGGGCATGACCTGCCCGCCCCCTCCTGGCCCGCAGAGCCCTGGCCGTCCTCCGCCTCCGTCCTGCAGCCGCCCTTACCGTCCCGCGTGGGAGTGGCACCCGCGCCTCCAGCTGGAAGAAAACGCAGGGGTTACCCGGCGACCCCTGACGCCCGCCCGCCCTCCCGGGGAAGCTGGTGCGGCTGCGCCCCGGTGCCCAGGCCAGCGCCGGGCACACGACACCGGGCGTGCATCTGCTTTAAAAAGCGGGGGGATCGCTTCTCTGTAAACGTACAACGGCTCTGAAGACTAGTCCACTCGTTCGAGAGCAACGAGGAGCAGCGTGGGTCACTCACCCCGCCAGGCGCCCGCCCCCCAGGACACGGAGACCCCGCTCAGTCCGCCCTGGGCAGCCAGGCACATGGCTCCCTCCCCGCAAGCCCACCGCAACCCCACCGTGCCGCAGGCCAGCTTGGGAAGCCCCCTGGCCCCCTCTAGGTGCGGGGGACTCACCAGAACCTTCCGGAACCCGTTCCGGACCCGGACGTACAGCTCCTCCCTCTCGGCCACAAACATGAGCCAGCCCTCCGGCACGTCCGGCACCTTGTCCAGCATCGTCTGGTACGTGGCCCAGATGCGCACCTGCTGGAAGCCGCCCTAGTGGGTCCCGGGCACAGAGGCAGCATCCGGGCTCGCGGGCGAGGATGTGGGCGCCTCTGGGTGAGGGACCCACCGAACACCCTGTGGCTTCAGGTGAGGCTCCTGTGGGGAGGGCTGCTGGGGGCCCTCCCCTGCCCTCCTGACCCCCAGGCCCCCCACTTCTGCTTGGGAACCATCTCAAGCCACCCATGAAACAGTCCACCCGCAGCCTCCGAGGGGAGGGTGGCCGGCCCGGGCTGGGGGCTCTTACCCCTGAGGACGTGCCCATGGTTCCAGGGGGGCCAGGGGGCCCAGGGGGCCCGGGAGGGCCGGGGACACTGATAGCTGCGAGAGAGAAAGCAGACATGGGGCACGCAGCCCTGGCTGGACAAGGTGGGGGCCCAGGTACCCACCCCCCTTCCCGACTTACTCTGCCTGTAAGGGCCGGGAAAGGAAGGGGGTCCTGGGGGCCCGGGGGGGCCGGGGGGCCCGGGAGGCCCCCGACGCCCCTCATGGCCGATGCCAGGGGGGCCCTGAGGTCCAGGGGGGCCGGGATGGCCCTGAACGCTCTCTCCCTTGGGACCCTGGGGGGGGACAAGAGAACCTGAGGGGCCCGGCGGCTTCAGCCAGAGGCCCTGTGGGGAGCAGCCGAGCCTCCGCCTCCCCCCAGGCCGCGGGCAGAGGTGCAGCCCCCCGAGAGGAAGGAGCAGCGCCCGCAGGACAGCAGGTGCCCCCCACCCCGACACCGGGGGCAGGACCCAGAGGGGAAGCTCGCAGCCGGCCGCTGGGCCTCGCAGGTGTCCCTGGCCCCTGGGGCCGCGAGCCCAGACTTACCGGGATGCCGGGGTAGCCCGGGGGGCCCGGGGGGCCGGGCACGCTTGAGCCGAAGAACCCGCCCCCCCCGGGTTCACCGCGCTCGCCCTTCTGCCCGGCGTCGCCGCGGTCGCCCTTCTCCCCCTGAGGACAGAGATGCGGCTCTGAGCCCGGCCCCCGTGGCCGCAGTGGGAGGGCAGGGCGGACCCCAGGAGCAGGAAGCTTCCGGAAGCTTCTGGAGACCGAGTGGCAGGCCCGGCGGGACCTTGCCGCACCACGCGGGCCCCGGGGAAACCGGGTGAGGGTGGCGCAGGGCGCGGGTGTCACCCACCTTCATCTCAGCCCCGAACTGGAGGAGGTCGAAGGGGAACTGGCCTGCGGGAGAGAGGGCCCGGGTCAGCCACGCGCCCGCGTCTTCCTCCTCGCTTCCGCCACTTCCTTGGCACCCGCGGATGCCCTGCGGCTTGTGGCCCTTGTCCCCAGGCCCCCGACACTTCTGTCAAAGGCGCCCTCTTTCCCCTCCGGCTTTCCCGGGCCCCCGGCGCCAGCCCTGCAAGGGCCCTGGGGTCGCGGCGCCAGCTCCGGGACCCCACAGCCTCTGGGAGCCCCGACCCGGCTCCTCGGCACGTGTTTAGAAGGTTGACTTCTGTCAACTGCCCTCCTGGCGGCGGCAAAGCGCCCTACGGGCTGGGACGGTGGCCGCGCGGCCCCCCGGGGGCTGAGCTCACCGCCCTGGTGCCTGTCTTATTTCCTCCTTCCCATAAATATGCAGCCGGGGTCCCCCCCCTGCTCACTGGGGTGCCCTCTGACCATGTCCCCCCACCCCAGCGAGCCCCCCCGCGGTCCTGCGGGGGACATGCCCGGATCACGGCTCTTTTCAAAGAACTGACTCGATCCGTAAGGCTCGTCATTCACGTGGGGTCTGGCCTCTTTCTTCCAGTTAAACCTCCCTTGTGCCCCGAGCCTCGAGCCCGTGCTGGGTAAACTCCGGGCTGCGTGGGGAGCCCCCTGGTGGGAGCCCCCTCCGGGTGCCAGCCGCACCCCCTCCTATCCAAGCAGGTGCGCTGCTCCGCGGGCGTCCCCCAGTCGCATCTCTAGCGCTGACCTCCCGCTCGCTTGCAGCCCCGCATGGGCCTGTGTGCTGCCCTGCGTGGGCCCAGCGGTCGGGGCGCTCACCCCGTCAGCTCCATCTCCCCGCTGAGCTGCCCTCGCCCCTGCCAGGCGGCCACACCCCACCCCGGCCGCCCTGTCGTCCTCAGTCCTCCCCGCCGGTGCTCCCGGCGTCCTGCAGCTCTGTGCTTAGGTGCAGAAATGAGGCGTTGCTGTACGCTCCCGGCGGGATTTCTCTTTAATCCTCGTGAAGAGCTTGTTAGAGCGTCTGCAACCTTGCCCGCTTTAAGATACTCTCGTCTGATTCCTCTCTCTCTTACACACGCACCTGCATTTGTACACAGGTGCACACACACGCACAGGCGCATTCACAGATGCACACGTGCACACAGGAGCCCACACAGGTGCACACAGGCACACAGGTGCACACAGGAGCCCACACAGGTGCAGAGATGCACACGCACACAGGTGCACACAGGAGCCCACACAGGTGCAGAGATGCACACGCACACAGGTGCACACAGGAACCCACACAGGCGTGTTCACAGGTGCACACAGGCACACACACAGGCGCATTCACAGGTGCACACGTGCACACAGGAGCCCACACAGGTGCACACAGGCACACAGGTGCACACAGGAGCCCACACAGGTGCAGAGATGCACACGCACACAGGTGCACACAGGAACCCACACAGGCGTGTTCACAGGTGCACACAGGCACACACACAGGTGCATTCACAGGTGCACACAGCCAGATGCACACACGCACGCACACGGCTTGCCCCCGCAGCTCCCTTCCCAGCGGAGTGCCTTCCCGTCCTGGCGCGTTTAGCTGCGTCCCCACGTTTGCGGAGCGAGCCTTGCAGGCGGCACGTGGTTTTGCTTGCGTCCAGCCGGCTGCTTCTGTGGTAATTGAGTGTGGTACGGCCCCCGGGACGCGTACCCCCAGCATCACCTCCGGCTCCGGGAAGGGCCCCCCGGCTCCCTGGCGCCCTCGCCCCCCCACCGCCGCTCATTCCCGCGGACGCCCGGGCCCAGGGGCTGCGGCTCTCCAGCTCTGTCCCGGAGTGGAACCGGCTCTTCCCACAGGTCCCAGCTCCCCACGGACGCCCTCACCTCGCCCTTGCCCCCACCTTAGCTGTCCCCCCGACGGCCTGGCTCGCCTGCCACATCCGCCCCTCTTGGGTTCTGGGCAGTTCTGGCCGTCCATCACCGGCTCGGCCTCAGGGGCTCCTAGACCCTGGGGAGCCCAGGGGTTCCCTCCTGGCAGCCGTCTAGGGAAGGTGGGGCTTGGTCTCCACGCACAGGCCAGTCTCTGACCTGCCCTCGCCCTGGGCTCAGCCCCGTCCCTGCAGGCCCTGCTCGCAGCCCTTATGGGCACGGCCTGTGGGGGCCCCAGCTCTGCACCTCGGATCTGCTAGCTCCCCGACGTCCACACCAGGGGTCCCGGGATCTCAGCAAGGGAAGGGCTGGGCAGAGGGCTCACCGTCCAAGGGAACGTCTGAGGGCCAGGCCTTCACCCCTCACCCCGGGCATGTGGCCTGATGAGGGGAAAGGGGGAGCCGTCCCAAGACCCCCAATATGCCAGGGCCGGCCACACTCCTCGGCGCGCAGCCAGGGCCACCTGTCCTCGAAGCCCTGGGTCCTGGTCCTGAGGCTTGCGGGGCCAACCTGGGGCCTCAAACCCAGACTCAGCACCAAGGTCCTGTCGGGGCCCCATGAGCCTGGACGGGGTCTCCTTCCTCCAGGAGGGCAGCCAGGTCACCATGGATGCAGCAGGCCTCCCCCCCCCCCCCGCCCCAGCCCAGGGCAGCCCAGAGCATCGTCACCTGGTGGTCCTGGAGGGCCCACGTCTCCTTTGTCACCCTTTGGTCCAGAAGGCCCCTGGTGCCCTGGAGGGACAGAGACCCGGGGCCCGTTATGGAGTGTGTGCCCTGGGGGTCCCGCCCAAGGGGCTGCTCTGGGGACCAGGCCACTCCTGCAGGGTGCGCCAGCCGGTAGGACGAGGCAGGGGAGCCGGGCCAGCGTCCACTGCTGTCCAGTCAGGCTGCCTGGGAGGCCGCCCGGGAGGGCCCGGGGGCAGGGGGTTCACAGGACCCACAGGACCCACGAGGCCCCGCGTCCCACCCTGGCCGCCCCGAGGCCCCAGGACCCCTCACCTGGCAATCCTGGAGGTCCGGGGTGGCCAGGCTCCAAAAATGCCTGCAAAGAAGCCAGTGAGGAAGGTTCCCTGCAAGCTGAGCCCCCCACGCGGGGCTCCCAGGGCCCAGAGGCCCGGCCTGCCGTGAAGCCACACGGATGCTCCCCAGGGGTGTAGGCCACGGAGGGAGAGCAAACCGGGCTTTGGGATCAGGAGCCCCACTCACGATGTGATCGGCCCCTCACGGTTCACTTCATGGGGCTGAGCCTCAGAAAACGGGTGCGTGACCCACCCCCGGACCATGGGGCTTGAGCCCCAGGCTCCCCGGTCCAGAGAGCCCCCCATCTCGCTTCCCCAGGTAGAGGCTTGTTTTCTAACAGAAAACCTACCAGGCACATGGGCTTGGGTCCCACTAGCCACCCTCTGCTGGAAACTGGGCTGTCTCCTGGCTGGGGGTCAGCACCCCCCTAGAGGTCAGCACCCTCCTAGAGGTCAGCCTCTTCCTGGAGTCAGGACCCCCCTAGAGGTCAGCCCCTCCTTGGGGGTCAGCGCCCCGGGGGTGGCACTGGGTAGGGCCCATGAGGAGGAGGGTGGGGAGGGATCTTGGCAGGACTTACGTTGCTGTCATAGATGGGAGTCCCAGGAGGGCCTGGGGGCCCCGGAGGCCCTGGGGGACCGGGTGGACCCTGCGTGGGAAGGACAAGAAGCCTGTGAGGTCCACGGCCAGGCTGACAGGAGCAGGGCAGCAGATACAGGCAGGAGTGTTTCTAGGTGTTTCCATAAAATCAGATGACTGAACTCCGGGGACAGCACAGAGTCAGGAAGCGCCCGGTTTACTCTGGTTGTGGGTCCGGGGGACAGAACGTCCCCCAGAATATCCCTTGGGCGACAGGACTGGACGTGGGCGTGTCCCCGTGGGAAGGGGGCACCCCAGGGCGGCGGGTGGGGCTCCGAGTGACCCTCTGTTCATTAGTCACAGAAAGGGGACAACGCGGAGGGACCGGGCGGCACCAGGAGGGCTTCTGAAGGGGCGGAGCGTGGGAACCAGGGCGGGTGGGCTGGGCGCCGTCCCCGCGGTCCCCCTGCTGCCCCACTGAGGTCGGGCACGGGGGGACGGGATGCGGCTCGGAGGTGGGGTCTCGGGCCCCAGAGAGGCCGCTGCCGGCGGGGCCCAGTCCCAGCAGCCACCGTGTCACCTCCACCCTGAGACTCCAAAGTGCCCAACGGACCAGGGCCGGGTCTTCCCGCCGACGCCTGACCTAGCGATCTCGCGCTCCCGCAAACTCCACGGGAGGAAGAGGCCCCGTGGGGACGGGCAGCGAGGGCCCAACCACAACGGTGGGGACGGCTGCATGGGCGGCTGCAGGACCCTGGTCCCCCCCCACCACCACGGGGGCTCACGGCTCTGGGGGGGCGTCCCCCTGGGGGCCGGGCCGTGGGGTCGCCACCGCGGGCAGGGAGGGCCGTCGGAGGCGGCCGCGCGGGCTCTGTGTGCACGTGGTGGGGTCCTCATGTCACAGCCCGCACAGCGTGGTCACAGCGCACGGCCCCTCTGTGCCCCCGGGGGTGCCATCGCCCCTTGGGGGACACTCACCCTCATACCGAAGCCGGCGCTGGCCTGTCCTGGCTCCCCTTTCTCCCCCTTCAGTCCGTTCATCCCGGGGCGACCCTGGGGCAGAGCAGAGGGGCGGGGACTGCGGCTGCTGGCTCACCCTGGCCTCCGCAGCTCTCCGTCCCCACCCAAGGTCTCTGTCCCCACCTGGGGTCTCCAATTCCCTGACCTGAGGTCTCCATCCCCGCCTGGGGTCTCCCTCCCCATCTGGGGTCTCTCTTCCCGCTGGGGTCTCCGTCCCCACCCAGGGTCTCCATATCCCTGACCCAGGGTCTCCATCTCCCTGACCCAGGGTCTCCGTCCCCGCCCGGGGTCCCCTTGGCCCCAGCCCCTCAGCCCCAGCCATCAGTGGGCAGGCCGGGCCTCCCTGGGCTTCGTCCTGGAGAGAGCGCTCCTCATGCAGGACGGTCCCCAGGGGCAGGACAACAGCAGGGACTGCTCCCCCCACCCCCCCGCTGCCCACGCGCGGCCCGAGGTCCCGGGTCCTTACCGGCCGCCCAGGGAAGCCGATCTCTCCCTTGTGCCCCGGCCGCCCGTAGGGACCCTGCAGAAAGGAGGCGCCACCTCCCAGGTGAGCAGAGGCCAGCCCCCGGGGTCTCTGCCCAACACCCACCTCTGCCTTGAAGGTGCCCCTCAGGATGCATGGGGCCACCCGCGCCCCCTCGGCGGCCTCGCGCCCCTTCAGGCTGGGGAGGCCTGGGCCTACTCACCGGGGGGCCTCGGAATCCGGGCTCTCCCTGAACGGAAAAGCAGAGGCACCGTCAGACGCCGCACCCCGGGGGTGTGAGGACCACCCCCCACAGCCCCTGAACCCCCGGTCCAGCTCTGCCCGGGCCCTCCCAGAGCCTGGGGGGCGGGGGACCTGGCACAGGCCCCCAGCCCAGTCCTGAGGGAGCAGGTTGACCCCCCAGCCACCCTGGGACCCCCAGCGCTCCGCAGGGCGCTCAGCCGACAGGCGGGGAGAACCAGGGGCCGCCCGGTGCTGGCCGGGTGGGCGTGCAGGGCTCTGAGGACCTCAAGGACCTTCCCAGTGTGGCCATGACAGGGACAGACAAGAACGGGCAAGGGGCCCCGGGTGCAGAAGGTTCTGGAACCCGCTCAGGAGCAGCGCTCACGCCTGGGCGGGAACAGGCTCCCCTCGGGAAGACAGACCCCTCGTGCTCTGTGCGTGGCCCCTGGAGACGCCCCCTCCCCGGCCTGGACGAGGGGAACCATCCCAGGCGCCCCCCACGCTCACCTTGGCCCCCTTCTGGGCGGGGGCCAGCATGCTGCCGTCGGGGCTGAACGCCGGGCCCGGCTCGCCCTTCTCGCCCTGGAACGGGGTGGGCGGCGGCGTCAGGGAGGCTCCAGGGAGGGGTCCTCACCCCGCACTCAGGGCACCCACACCCCAGAGCAGGTGCACAGCGAGCGGAGGTGGGGCATCCCCGCGGGGCCTCCCGGGGCCACAGCGAGGTCACGGCTCTCGCGTCCATCCCCCCGGGGTCACGGAGGGGGCCGTCCCTGGGCGTATGGCGCCCCAGCCTCTCACCTTGGGCCCTGGGGGGCCCCGCTGGCCTTTGGAGCCCAGATCTCCCTTCGGCCCGGCCGGTCCCTGTGGGAGACAGGCGGGCATGAGGGCCACACGCAGACCTGGACCCAGCACGGCTGTCAGGGCACCCACCACACCTCGCCCCAAGACCCCTGCTCCCCGAGTCCGCCCCAGTCCCCAGGGGCTGCTGCCCAGGACCCGGACGGTCCCCCGGGGCGCCGGGCTGAGCGGCCACTTACAGGAAAGCCTGCGTGTCCCGGCCGGCCCTGCGGGGAGAGGGGCGGGTCAGGGCGCGGGGTGCGGGGTGCAGGGCGCGGGCTGGGTGGCCCCGGGCCGCCGCACCTACCTCGGGTCCCGGCACGCCTGTCGCCGCTCTCTGTGGGCGCCGCGGGAACAGCACCGAGCGGGAAAGGGAAGGACAGCGGTTCCCCAGGAGGATCCGGCTCCTCGCACGGGGCCAAAAACCGCGCAAATGGACGCACAGGCAAACCGCCTCGACGTCCCCCGGTCAGAAGGGGAGGCGCCCACCGGAGCCCGCCCCGGCCCGGAGAACCTTCTGGACACCCTGGGGCCCGGGCCGGCCCCCGTCTGCAGCCTGGGCTGGGGGCCCGAGCCCACCTGCCGGTGCTGGCAGCGCGCGAACCGAGGGGACCCGACGGGCGGCTCCGCAAGGCTTGCTCGGCGGCCGCGGGACCCGCGGGGCTCGGGGGGGCAGGGGGCGGGGGGAACCTTGTTCCGGGTGGATTTTCTGCTACAGAACCTGCGTTTCTCCCTGGACACCCAACCTCGTATTTTTCTTGCCTTAAATAATTTAAAAATCTCACCAGGATGAGACACGGTCACTGGTTCTGAATACGACCAACAGACCGTGAGCCCCGGCGTCTTTGGGGGTCACCCTAGGTGGGGAGCGCCAGCGGCCCGGGGGCTCAGGGCGTGCTGTGGGGTGGAGCAGCGGGGAGGGGGCCTTACCTCCTGCTCTGACACGTAGACGACGGGCCCTGGAGGTCCGGGGGGTCCGGGGAGCCCAGGCTGCCCCACTCCGTCCCTCCCTGGCTCGCCCTGGAAGACAAAGCCAGCGTCGGGCACTCAGATGGCTTGGGGGGGGCCTCTGGAAGGGCCCAAGCCCACCCAGCGTTAGAGGGGTTCCCAGAGCCCATCGGGTGTGGGGAGGCGCCTGGGGCTGAGGGCAGCAGCCCCGAGAGCCCAGCACCCCGACGTGAGGGTCTCTGCCCAGGTCTCCAAGGCTATTCCGGTGGCACAGGGTTGGGGGGCAGCCCCGAGGCCTGGCCATGCACCTGCCCTGCCTGGGGACCCCGAGCCCCGACTCACTTTCTCTCCCTGGGTCCCTTTTTCTCCTTTGGGTCCCTGCAGAGATGGGAAGGAAACAGGTCACCTGCACAGAACGGAGCTGCCTCCCCGGCCCCAGACCACCAGCACCGGCCCCGAGGGGCCATGTAGACGGCCGGCACCCCCCGCCCACATCCCACGGACCCCTTGGGGTACGGAAAACTGGTCGGGAGCCCCCAGAGACCACACGGAGGCACCAGCTTCCTCAGAGCAGCTCCTGTGGGGCTGTCCCCCTCCCCCCCACGACCCCTACGGCCCCCCTAGGGAGTCACTCACCTGTGCTCCGGCCGTGCCCTCTCTGCCAGGGAGGCCGGGGAACCCGGGAGGCCCATCTGCGCCGACTTCTCCCTGGACCACACGGGGGGAGACGGGTGGGGGTCAGCCCCCCCCCCCGGCAAACCCTGCTGTCGGTCACCAGCTCGCACCCCGAGGGCAAGGGGCAGAGAGGAGGGGGCCCCGGGGGACAGACTCGTGTGGTTCCCCAGACTCACACTGGCAGGAGGAAGCCTGTCCTGTGGCCTGGGGTGGGGGTGTCCTGGGGTGTCAGGGGTCAGGTGTCCTGGGGCAGGGGTACCCTAGGGGGTCAGTGTCCTGGAGGGTCAGTGTCCTTGGGGGTCAGTGTCCTGAGGAGTCAGTGTCCTGGAGGGCAGTGTCCTGCGGGGGGGGAGCAGTGTCCTGGGGTCAGTGTCCTGGGGAGTCAGTGTCCGGGTGTCAATGTCCTGGGGATGGTCAGTGTCCTGGGGGGTGAATATCCTGGGGAGTCAGTGTCCTGGGGTCAGTGTCCTGGGGAGTCAGTGTCCTGGGGGGGTGAGTGTCCTGGGGTCAGTGTCCTGGGGGGGAGCAGTGTCATGGGGTCAGCATCCTGGGGAGTCAGTGTCCGGGGGGGGCAGTGTCCTGGGGTCAGTGTCCTGGGGGGTCAGTGTCCTGGGGGTGGTCAGTGTCCTGGGGGGTGAATGTCCTGGGAAGGCAGTGTCCTGGGGGGTCAGTGTCCTGGGGTCAGTGTCTTGGGGGTGGTCAGTGTTCTGGGGGGCAGTGTCCTGGGAGCTGCCCCGGGGGCAGGTGCCCCTGGAATAACCCTGGACCCTAAGGAATGAAGCTGAGCCCAGACAGCAGGAGCAGAGGGAGCAGGACCCCGAGTCTGGCCTTGGAGGTCACCGAGCAGCCTCATTCCGAGGCTCTGTGGCTCCGGGGGAACGGGGCGATGGGGCGATGGGGCCCCGCCCCGCTCCCGACCTGGGCTGCTCAGGTCACTCATTTCCCGAACCCGAGACCAGGCTCTCTTACCTTGGTGCCCGGTGGTCCTGCTATCCCAGGGTCCCCCTAAAGTGGGAGAGGCGCCCCGTGAGCATGGAGCACGGCAGCCCACCCCGCGCGGGGTGCCCACCCCCCCAGGCCCCCCCACGTGGCCCAGAGCGGGGGTCCGGGGACCCCCAGCGCACGCAGCCCAGACTGTTCCAGAAGCTGCATCATCCATTGGCCCAGGAGCAGCCCCCCCAGATTTAAGAACAAGCGTGTCTCTGGACAGCGCGACCCCTGAGCCGACCCAGGTGTCCCAGGTCACACCTCCTAAGAGGATCTTCGTGAAGGAAGGCTCTGCGACACCCTGCGGTGGACACTGACCACCTGGAACCCGCGGGTGTGGGAGCACGGCGTGCCCCGGGGGTGCCCTCGGGGGGCGGGGAGGGCTGGGGTCCCCAGGGCAGGGCGGGGGAGCAGAGGGCCCAGCAGGGAGGCGGGCGGGGTCCGGTTCCCGTGTCCCCCGGGTCGGCATCGCCCCTCAGTGTGTGAAGCCAGGGACTCAGGCCCCCCAGCACCGAGGCTGGGGAGGGGGGCGCGTGACGGGCGGTTCCCCTTGGGCTCCTCAGGCCCCTGAACCCACAGGTGCTGCGGAGAGGGCGGGCGCGCTCACTGACCTTGACCCCGGGCAGGCCTGGTGGTCCCTGTGGGGCAGAGAGGGGACACAGCCTGAGCCCCGCAGCGGGGGACACGGCCAGGCCCAGAGCAGCCGGTGCTCCCGGGGCCGGGGGGGTCTGTCCTGGGCACCACGGGGACCCTCGGCCGCACGTGGGCCCGTCCCCCCCGGTGCCCGGCAGCTCAGGGCCACCCCCACAGACCAGGAACCTTTAATATTTAATTTTGGCGGCAAGGCCGGTCGAGCTCATCAGTGCACGGAGATCCCCGGGGGGACGGCCCCCGGGCGCCAGCGGACGTGTCCCCCCGCACCCTGCCAGGGCCATACCTGCGGCCCGCTGGCTCCGTGCGCCGTCGACCAGAAGGGTTCCCCTGAGCCTTCCATGTCAACCTGCGGGAGCACATGCGGGGCGCTCGGGCCGCGGCCTCTCGTGGGAGGAGACCCCCTCACAGCCCAGGGGCAGGGACCCCGCTGGGTGGGTGTGAGCTCAGCCCTCCTAGGCCGGAGCACGTGCGGGGGTCCCCTGGCCATCCACTGTGCCCCCCGGCCCTGAGCGGTGACCGCCTGCGGCAATGGGGGGCTGCTCCTTCCACGGACGCAGTCGGGGGTCAGCAGGGCTCCCTGGGGAGCTCGTGGCTCAGGTGGGGCGGGGGAGCGTCCTGTCAGCGGGGGTGCCCGGGGCTTTCTGGGGGGACGGGGCCACTGGTACTCACAAACCCTGCGGCCAGTCCTGGTCCCGGTGGCCCCGGGGGTCCAGGGGGCCCTGGCGGTCCAGCGGGCCCGGGGGCTCCTGCCAAGCCGCTCTCCCCCGGAACGCCGACGGGGCCGGGGTCACCCTTGCTTCCCTGCAAGGTGGGGAGACTGGGCGTCAGCGCTTGCGGCCGTCAGCGTGTCGGCTCAACCCAGGACACCCCCTGCGCCCCCGTGCACCCCCGTCCCCCTGTGCTGTTCCGAACCTGAAAAGCCAAACACAGGACTGACATTTCCCAAAACAAACCCAACAGGGGGTGACTTTATTCACTTTAAAAACGAGCAGCCAAGGGTGAGCGTGTGTGGCGACCAGACAGACGGACACGGCCTCCCCGCCGAGGCCTCCGCTCCCCGCGGGCCGCCCTGACCACACGCTCCTCCAGGGTCACGTGAGCGGAGGCAACACCTGCCGCGAGGTGACCCCGGCGGGGGGGTGCACAGGGTGGACGGCGGGACCCGAGGGGCCCGACCCAATCGCAGCCGCTGCCCTAACCCTTATCTGCCCGGGCCTCTTGGGGCAGCAAGAAATGAACTATTTTGCTGAGTCAAACAAAGAAAAATAAAAACGAAGCAGCAGAGGGAGCCCCCCCCCCCGCCCCCTCGACACTCCTTCTAGGCCTGGTGCCCTGGTGCCCGGGGAGCACAGAGCATGCCTGGGGGAGGGGGCGGGGAGGAGCCGGGCGGCCGGGGCGGGGAGGAGGGCCTGAGGGTCCAGGATGCCTCGGACAGCGCGGGCCTGGCCCAGCGGCTTGCGAACAGGGCAGGGAAGTGGGGATCCGTGGGGGCCGCCGTGCAGGGGGTGGGCTGGCGCAGGGCGAGTCCTGAGGCGGGCACTCGGGCCCACCCGGCCCACCCGACCCCACCTGGTGTCCCCTGCAAACCTGCAAACGAGGGACACAGACCCCCGCCCCCCCCGCCCACGCAGCAGCACGACCCTGCCCCGTCAGGGGGCAGCTAGGGGGTCTCGCCCGTACCTTAGGTCCTGGGGCGCCCGCGTCACCCTGCGGGAGAGAGGACGACCGCTCAGACGTGCAGCCAGCGAGAGAAGAGCAAACACTTTCAGTCGTTTCGTCCCGACCCGGGGAGCCGGTGCCTGAGCGCCGCGCCCCAGAGACGCGAGTCCAGCGCTCCCAGCGTGCCGTCCTGGCCCGGGCACACCCGTGGGCTGTGGCCGTCGTCATCCCATCCTGGCCGGCTGCCCCGGGGGCCGCCGCCGCCAGGAGGACAGGCTCTAGTCGGCGAGCAGACAGCCCCACGGACGCGCCCCCCGCTCGGCCCCACGCAGCCCGGCCCCCACGGAGAGGACGGCACCAAGGACGGCCCGTGACCCCCCGGGTCATCCGCCAAACCACGTGGAAACCAGACCCCGGTCGTGACCAAAATTAGAACTTGAGCTAAATCTTCCAAACCCAGAGTCAGTATTACTTGAAAACCCTTAGTGGGGGCGGCCTCCGTGCGGCGTCCCCAGGCGTGGGGGGCACACCCCAGGCTCCTTCGCCCCCCGGCCCCTATACGGCGCTGTGGCCGCCCCCCCAGACTTACGGGGCTGCCTTTCGGGCCGGGCTTCCCTGGTCCTCCTTCTTTCCCCGGAGGGCCTGGCGGTCCCTGGGGGAGAGAAAAGCAGAGCGTGGGCCCGGGGGGATTCAGTCGCTGAAAGATTCCCGGGGCAGCGGGCGATCGCCTGGGCACGGGCACCTCCCGAGAACCCAGGGCGCCGGAATGTTCCAGAGACGCAGGACAGAGCCCAGGCCGGCAGGGCGCAGGCGGCTCGCTCCGGCTTCACACCTCTCTCCTTTACTTGTGTTTGAGTGGATCCAACGGGGGGACGGTGAGAAGGGGGAGCCCCCGGCCCTGCCCGGTCACCGAACGCCCCCACATGTCACTGTGCAAACACCACGCGACGGGCACCCGGTTCACGTGGCAGCGGCACCGTGGGGCAGCGCCAGGCCCCTGGGTCCCCCGGGGCACCCCCACCCCGGGACGCCGCGGGCCGAGTGGTCACTGAGCGGCCACTCAGCCTCCACCCCGGGGCCCAGAGACCGGAGCCCCTCCCAAGAGGAGGGGGAGGACGTGGTGGGGCCGACGGTTCACCCCGACTCCAGGACGGGCTCGGGTGGGGACGGGGCAGCGAGGGGCTCCAGGGAGGCAGGCCTTACCGGGGCGCCGGGAAGCCCAGGGGGCCCGTCCCGCCCGGGGACACCAGGAAGGCCCGCGGGGCCTGGGACGTCCGAGCTGTTCATCCCGAAGCGGCCTGGTTCTCCGGGCAGGCCTGGGACGCCGGGGGGCCCAGGGGGGCCGGGAAAGCCTCTGGGGCCCTGGACGTGGAGAAACAGGCGACGGTTAAAGCGGCACCTGCAGAGGATGGCCCCACCCCCACCCGGGCGCCCGCCGCCCCCACATGACCCACGGACACTCACTCGGAGGCTCTCCAGGTCACCGCCGAACCCGGACCCCTCCATGTCAATGAAGGTCTGGGGGAAGGAGCCCACGGACACGTCACTGGGAGCCCAGGCCACCCCCCGGGCCTCCCCTCTCCTGAGGCCGGCGGGTGGGGGCCCGCCCCTGCCCGGAGCTCATGGGGCGCGCTGTGCACACGGGCAGCAGTCGGGAGGTTTCCAGCAAGAGGCCGAAGCGGGGAGTGGACGCGGCCCCTGAACGGAAGGAGCCAGAGCCAGGCAGGCCCCACGGACGCGCACGGACCCCACGGGCCCCCCACGGACCCACGCCCTGCCGCATGGACGGCGGGGAATGACTCCCAGACCCGGACACCCCCTTGGGAAGGCGGGTGTGAGCTGAAGGAGGCATGAGGAAGCCAAGCCGGGGACCGGGCGGAGGGTCCCTCCTCTGGGGACAGCGGGTGGCCCCCCTGCTGGAAGAGGCTGCAGCTGGGACTCACCAGCTTGTCGTGTCTGAAGGAGGGTCCTGGTGGCCCTGGAGGCCCTTGGGGTCCTGGGGGTCCTCTTGGCCCGACCCCAGGGTCGCCCTGGGGACAGAAGGCACTGGTTACATCAGGGGGTGTGGCCCCACCACGGTCAGGGCTTGAGGACCTAACGCGCACGGCCCGCCGGCCAGACCGCCCGGCCTCTCACCTTCTCGCCCTTGGGGCCCACGTCTCCCGGGGTTCCGGGGAAGCCCTGCGGCCCAGGGTCACCCTGGAAGACAAGGACCAGCAGCTCCGTCAGAAGGCGCCTCTGTGCTGACCCTGCCCCCACCGCTGAAGACACGTGGCTGGGACCCGCTGAGCCCCCGGAGGACGTCACGCAGGACCCGAGGTGGACGTGCCTGGGGATCGCCATGCGGACCCGCCCTAAACGCTGCGCTGTGGCCTTCCCGTGGACATCCTCGGGGTCACCAGTGCTCTCTCCCGCTGGTGTGCATGCCTGAGTGTGTGTCTGTGTGTGCACCTGTGTGTGCATGCGTGTGTGCACCCATGTGTGTGAATCTGCATGCGTGTATACATGAATGTATGTGTATACCTGTGTGTGTACACCTGTGTGTGCACCTCCATGTATGCAGCTCTTGTGTGCACCTGTGTGTGCATCAGTTTGTGTGTGCACCTGCGTGTGTATACCTGGGTGTGTGCACCTTCATGTGTGTGCTGCACCTGCATGCGTGCACCTGCCTGTATGTGCATACATGTGTGTCGACCTGAGTGTGTGCACCTGAATGTATACCTGTGTGCACCTGCTTCTGTGTGTACCTGTGTGTGTGTACGCATCTGCATGTGTATATGTATATACCTGGGTGTGCACCTGCGTGTGTGTGCACCTGTGTGTGCATGTGTGTGCACCTGTGTATGCACCTGAGTGTGTGTGCACCTGCATGTGTGCACCTGTGTGCACCTCCATGTATGCAGCTCTTGTGTGCACCTGTGTGTGCATCAGCTTGTGTGTGCACCTGCGTGTATACCTGAGTGTGTGCACCTCCATGTATGCAGTTCTTGTGTGCACCTGTTGTGTGCATCAGCTTGTGTGTGCACCTGCGTGTGTATACCTGGGTGTGTGCACCTGTGTGTGTGCACCTGCCTGTATGTGTATACCTGTGTGTGCACCTGCTTCTGTGTGCACCTGTGTGTGCACCTGGGCATCTGCATGTGTATATGTATATACCTGTGTGTGCACCTGCGTGTGCGTGTGCACCTGTGTATGCACCTGAGTGTGCACCTGCTTGTGTGTGCTCCTGTGTATGCACCTGAGTGTGCACCTGCATGTGTGCGCACCTGCATGTGTACCTGTGTGCACCCGCGTGTGTGCACCTCCATGTGTGTATACCTGCGTGTGCACCCGAGTGTGTGCACCTGCATGTATGTATGTGTGTATACCTACACGTGTGCACCTGTGTGTGCATGGGTGCGTGAGGGGAGGCACTGTGGACAAGCGCCTGGGTGGCTGCCCCTGGTGGGGCGGAGGTGGCGTGTGTTTGCGTGTCCACGGGCGCCGGGCACACTCGAAACTCTGGCTCGTTTGAGCAGGGCGAGCTGTCCCCGTCCCCATGTCCTGCGGGGTCCAGGCCGCCCGGGCTGAGCACTGGCTGGTGTCCTCAGCCCCCAGGACCCCGCAGGCGACCGCAGCACCGGGGACTCAGGGACGGCCTGGCCTCAGTAGGAAATATCCCTCCTGTCCTCCGCAGCATCCCAGACGCGGACGAGCGGTGTCGGGGGCACCGGGGCCGCCCCTCCCGGGCTCCCTACTGGGCGCCGCCTGCGGGATCCCCCATCTTCGCGGCAACCTCCCGCGTCACGTTATCAGCATCTGAGGATTCCTAACAACCCAGACGCTCTATCTGCGGCGACTGCGGGCGGGTCTGCGCCGCCCCTCGCCCCCTCGCCCCCTCCCCACCCCTCACGCGTTTGCCCCTCTAGGAGCCGGAAGCTGCACCTTTTCTCTCTGCCCTTTCCGTCCTGCCAGGAGCCTAACTCGACGGCTGTGTTTTTCTATCAATAGACTTGTAGTTTCTCAGCGGACGTTAAGCTGCATTTTCAAAACGGTTCATTTAGGAATCTGTGCGCTGTGTGGCGCTGACGGGGGGTCACGGGGAAGGGCCCTGAGGGTCTCACACACACGAGACAGGAACACCTGGCTCTGAAGCAAACTCACCGGCCTCCCGTCCTCACCGGGATCCCCCTGGAACGTGCAAGAGAACCGTCAGCAACCGACCGACGCCCTGTGCCCGCCCGGTCTGAACAGAGACCCGCACCCGAGCCCCAAGCCCCACGGATGACCCGGGGTGGGGGTAGACAGCGTCCCCCTAGCGCAGCGGCCCCCTGCCAGCCCCCTGGCCGCCCTCCCCTCCTGGAGCGGCGAGGAAGCAGCCTCGGAGTCAGGGCTGCCCCAGGGTCTCCGTCCCGGGACCTGCTGCCCTGGCACACGCACCCCGCCGGTGCCCGCCCAGCCCACGGAAGGTGCTCACCGGCTCACCGTCCCTTCCAGGGGTGCCATCCTTCCCTGGTGGCCCTGGGGGGCCCGGGGGGCCCTGTGGCCCGGGTCCCGGCCATGCTTCAGGGTTGTGCGCCGCAGGGCCTGTAGGAGCCTGGGGACGAGGAGGGGAGGGCACAGGCTGGGGCCGACAGCTGGACCCCCCCCGAGGCCCCGGCTGGGCCTGGTATCCCAGGGGCCTGCAGGGGATGTGCCGGCACAGGGCACACAGCGCCGGCCACGGGCTCCCGGAGCTCGGGTGAGTGGACTGAAGCACCGACCGCCCTGGGGTCTGGGGAGGGGGCTCACCTCCTGCAGGCTGCCCCCAAGGCGTTGGGCGCTCTCTACGGTGACTGTAGCCGAGCCGGGGAGGGTCCGAGCTGGGGAGGCAGAGGCGGCCGTCGGTCCCCGGAGCACGGCCAGGCTCCCCTGCTCCCGCCCCGACCCCAGGCTGCCCGGAGCCCAGCCGTGGCCCCGACACGCACACGCCCACACCCATGCCCACGTCGCTCCTCTTCTCACTGGGCACCGGAGGTCGCCACATTTATCACCACCCTCCGCCAGGAGGCGCACAGCCCCGAGGAGCGAGGACGTTTCCTGACACCAGATGCTCATGCTCAGGACGTGTTGGGTTGTAATCTACGGTGACTGACACGCACCCCTGCACCCCGGCCCCCAGCAGGTCCACGCCCGAGCCCCCTAAACCCCTACACCCTGGCCCCCAGCAGGTCCACACCTGAGCCCCCTGAGCCCCTGTACTCTGGCCTCCAGTAGGTCCGTGCCTGAGCCCCTGAGCCCCTGCACCCTGGCCCCCAGCAGGTCCACACCTGAGCCCCCTGAGCCCCTGCTCCCTGGCCCCCAGCAGGTCCACGCCCGAGCCCCCTAAACCCCTGCTCCCTAGCCCCCAGCAGGTCCACACCTGAGCCCCCTGAGCCCCTGCTCCCTGGCCCCCAGCAGGTCCACACCTGAGCCCCCTGAGCCCCTGCACCCCGGCCCCCAGCAGGTCCGTGTCTGAGCCCCCTGAGCCCCTGCACCCTGGCCCCCAGCAGGTCCACACCCGAGCCCCCTGAGCCCCTGCACCCCGGCCCCCGGCAGGTCCACACCCGAGCCCCCTGAGCCCCTGCACCCCGGCCCCCGGCAGGTCCACACCCGAGCCCCCTGAGCCCCTGCACCCTGGCCCCCAGCAGGTCCACGCCTGAGCCCCGAGCCCCTGCACCCCGGCCCCCAGCAGGTCCACGCCTGAGCCCCCTGAGCCCCTGCACCCTGGCCCCCAGCAGGTCCACACCTGAGCCCCCGCCCCGCAGCCCGCCCCGTAGACCTTCAGGGCCACAGGGAACGTCCCCAACCCCAGAGGCCGATCTGGGACGGGCCTGCTTCACGGACGTCCTGGGCAGGGGCTGACCTGTGCAACCAGCTGTCCTGCAAAGCCAGCCCTGGGGGCCTCCTGGTGAGCCCCCTGCACCTTTGCGACGGCCCCACCGACCCCCACTGGTGACACGAACGTGAGAGACGGGACACAGAACACAGCGAGGCCAAGCAGTGGCTCCGGGCCGAGTCCCCTGGGGCCGTGGGGCTGGGCTGGGCGTGTGTCCCCGACGGAGGGGAGCCCCTCCGGCCCCGCACACCACCCACCAAACAGCCTTACCTCCCAACGGGGACGCTGTGGCTTCTTCCTCGATTTCTTCCGTTCTGGAATCTTCCATGTCCCTGCCTCCAGCCAAGGGCGGAGAAGTGACCGGGGGAGCCTCGGGGAGCTCGGCTTTGGGGAGCGGACCCTGGCAAAAGGTGAGGGTGGGAGAAGCAGCCCGTTACCCCGCACAGGCGGCCGTCCTGGGCGTGCGGGCACGGGCCAGTCTGTCCGTGGGACGGTTCGCGCTCGACGGATTCTCAGAGACACGACAACAAGCAGCAGGGACTTCGTCCTGGGAGGACGCTCCGGGGCTCGTGCGCTGGCTTCTCCTACACAGCCCGTGGGTCGGGGTCCCCCGCGCGCCCCAAGCCTGGAGGTCTCCCCGCGGGCCAGGGAGGCTCGGGGCCCAGGACGGCCCGGTGACCTCAAGCGCCCCAGCTCCTCCCTGGGGGCAGCGACCTGCCTGGTGGGGCTGGATCTACACCCCCCGAGGGGGAAGGCCGGCCCCGGGGCACACGCAACCCCAGGACGGGGCCCCAGGCACGCGGGCGCCCGAAGGCTCCTGCCACCGCCCGCCCCACCCTGGGCAGGAGCTCCGGTGACCCCACAAGGTCAGGGCACTCGGTGGCCGTCCTCCTGTGACCTGCCGGCCGCCAGGCCCCCCAGCTGACCCCCGGACCCCGCTGGCCTCCCGACATCCCTGAGCTGCTGAGCCCGAGGGAGCGGAGGCCCCGCGTGGCCACGGAGGGGGGGGGGCGCCCCGGGAGGGCTGAGGCCGGTTCCCTGGCAGCAGGGAGGCCCCCAGCAGCGGGCCGGGGCAGGTCGGGGGCAGAGGGTGGAAATGTGCGACCGCCCCACGTGGTCACGGGCACGTCACGCCGTGGCCCTGGCACAGCCCGGGCGCCCTTCCCGTGGGGCCGCGTGCCCGGCTCTGGTTTGCAGCGGGGACGGGAGCTCGGTGGGGGAAGGGCCCACATGCCGCCGGACACGGGCAGGGCCGTCACGGGCACCCGGGCCCACTGGGCGCCCTCCCAGCACCGCTCCGGCCACCGCAGGGCCAGGGGTCCCAGCGCCCTGGGAGGGAGGGGGCGGGGGCCACCCGTCCCTGCACGTGGGGCACAAGCGGCCTTTTCCCTCCCACGTGCCGTGTTGGGTGGGGGAGCCGGGCGAGCTCTGGCCTGACCTCCGGAACCTTCCTCGCGGTGACCCCTGCCTGCTTTCCCTTCCGTGGGAGTTACAGACCCACCGGCTGGGTGGGAACGGGTCACCAAGGTCACCCAGGGACCCGGGCGGGGGGCGGGTGTTAGGATTAGAAACCGAACTGTAAATCCCTCAGGACAGAGCTATGGGGGCGGGGGTGCATCTCCCGGACGGGCCACCTGACCCCAGCGTCCCGGGCCCGGCTGGGAGCATGTCCCACACGTGTGCTCACCGGCCACACTGGCGGGACCCCAGGAGGGCGGCCCCCGGCACTCACCGACGGCTCCCGGTCGTCCTCCAGCCCGCTCCCAAAGTCTCCAGACACCTGAGGGCGGCAGGGGAGGAGCAGGGCGCCGGTGAGCATCCCCCGTCCCCGCGGGGCCACACGCGCCTCTTTCGACTCGTCCCCCTGCTCCCGGGACACCGTGCGGGGGGACGGCCAGGGGACGGAAGCCCAGCATGGGAGGCTCCAGGCACGGCTCCGCGACACGAGGCTGCGCAGGTGGACGGGCCGGCGGTGCTGAACAGGGTGGGCGGCGGCCGCGGGGACCGTGACCAGTCATCTCCCCCCTGCTCGCGGCTGACGCCTCACTGTGCACCCCGGGGTCGCGGGGGGCACTCTGAGCTCTGGATCCCCCAGGACACCGGCTCCCTGCTCTCCGTCCCCCGCACCCGAGACCTGGATTTTCTTGTTTAGACCCGAGGCATGTGCACACGCACACACGCTGCGCGCTCTGGCCACGAGCGACCGCGGAGCCCTGGCTCTTCCCGGTTGTTGGAGCTCCCGCCCGGATCCACGGGAGCTCCCAGGGGAGGGCTGGAGGCCCGGCGGCTCCTCCTGACGTTGCCGTTGATGAGGGCGTCCCCGGCTCGTGGCACCCGCAGGAGCCCTCGAGTCCCCCCGTGGGGTTCCCGGCTGCCCCCGCCCTGCGCCTCCACCCTCCGGCCGCGGCCCCACTCACCCCGCCGCTGTCCTCGTCGTCCTCCTCCAGGCAGTGCAGGGGGCTCACGTGCGGGTCCCCGCGCACCCTCAGCTCCGCGATCATCCCCTAAGGCAGAGGGACAGGGGGTCACCGTGGGCTCCGGGATGGGGGGTGCACACCGGCCGGCACCCGGCTCGCAGCGAGAAGGTCTGGGACGGGGCTCCCGGAGCACCCGCATGAGGCCGGGGAGGGAGGCCGCGCTCCCGGACGGCGCGGCATGCGGCAGGACACGCGTCTGCCCACACCAAGGAGGGCCGGGGCCGGCGGGGGGGCGGCGGAGGGGGCTGCCAGTGGGCGACCATGTGGGCATCTCCCCCGTGACGCGCCCCCAGGCTGAGGCCTGCACCCACAGGCCTGTTCCGGTGCTTCCTGTTCTCACTTGACGTCCTTCTCCGCGGGGACTCACTCTGGTGCTTCTCCCCGAAACCGAAGCCACACTTGGTGCATCCGGCCTGCGCGTCTGCACCGCCCTCGCGGTAGGCCGCGGCCAGGCGGCCAGGGCCCCGGGGAAGGCGGGCCCCGGGGTGCGGCATGTGGGCGCCGACAGAGCGGAACCTGGCCCCTGCACACTGCACCGGCGCTACGGACCCCGAAATGCCCTTCAGGGCCGCCCCACACCGCCCCACACGCTACACGCAGGGGCCTCCTGGTTTCCCTGTGCGGGGCCCTCCGGCCTGCGGGCTGCACATGCCCCCTACGTTCTTCTGTTTCTTCCTCCAAACGACCTCCAGACTCCCTCCATCGCCGACCCTGCACCCTGTGACCTTGCACATGACGACAACCCAACAACGCCCCGCGTGTCCCCATGAGCCCTGCGGGAGGGCTCCCCTTGCTTCCCGAGGCTGCCTCCTCCAGGAAGCCCCCTGGATCCCTACCCAGGACGGTTAGACCCTCCAGGGGGGCGGCTCTGACCCTCTGCCCCCCCCACCTCCCTGCATTGGACAGCGAGGCCTGCAGGGCCGCATCCCATATCCCTGTGTGTGCACACGTGTCCATATGTGTCGGACGTGCACACGTGCTCCTTCAGGCCCCGACACCCGCCCCTGGGAGGCCAAGGAGGGCTGGACCCAGGCCCCGAAGCTCCACGGTCCCCACGGGGCCCCAGCACGAGGGGAAGGACACGCTGAGGACACGGGCGGGAAGCGGTCGGATGCCGGTGTGTCATTTCCAGCCCGCGGGGCACAGGCGCCGACCCCTTGGCACGGCCGCACACAGGGGCCGAGGCCACAGCAGCCGGCGCAGCTCAGGTCACCAACAGAGTCGCAGATGGGCTCTTCCCGAAGCTGGGCTGACCCGGGGGCGCTGAACACGGCGGCCACGGCAGGACCATCTCCGTCACCGCTGTCCCCACCTAACCACGGTGTTTCAGGAGGTCGGAGGCAGGGATGGCCCGAGGCCCCGGTCAAGGCCCAGAAGGCAGCTGCACCGGCTCTCAGTCGGGTCAGGATGGTCATCGGTTCCGGAAGGTTCTTTGGGGTGGCCGGGTGGTGTCCAGGCCTCGCGGCACTCCAGGGAAGCTGATGGACAGCAGCCAGGGTGGGGGCCCGGGGGGCAGGGGCAGGGGGGCAGCGTGCTGGGCCTGACCCCAAGCAGGAGGGCGGTGGCCCCACAGAGAGCACTGTCTGCCGGGGCCGGAGATCAGCCCCTGACGTTTCCAGGACACCAGCCGCGCCTGTGTCGACCCAGAGCCCATGGGGCCCACCACGCAGCCACCCTCGCCGCCCCCCAGGCCCCTGCCACCCTGCAGCATCCCCACAAGCGCCAGGTCACAGTGAGGCCGGCCCCCCTCACTAGTGTCGCCAGGGATCCCCCCCCCCGCAGAGCCGCCCCCAGGGCTGCTGTCCTCACCCCCCGTGACCCCTGCACGTAGAGGAGATGCAGCGGGGGGACCGGACCGGCTGGGGCTCCAGGACCAGAGACGTGGTCCGTGCCCTGCAGGGGAGTTGGCTGTGGACGGGGCTGGGTACGCACGAGGAACGAGTGTCCTTCCTACTAATTCTGGGATGTTCTGACCACCACGGAGGGCGGCCAGGCTGCGTGGGAGGTGTGTGAGCTCTGTGGACGGGTCACGTGTGAACACGTGTGTGTGTGTGGACAAACGTGCAGGTGTGTGTGCATGTGGTGAGGGCAGGTGTGGGCACACCTGTGTGCACGTGAACCACCGCACCCCTCGGTGCATGGAGCAGGTGTGCATGTGGTGAGGGCAGGTGTGAGAGAGCACATCGGTGCATGTGAACAGTGCACACCTGTGTGCATGGAGCGTGCGTGCATGTGGTGACGTGTGAGCGCCTGTGTGTGCATGTAAGCGAGTATGCACCTGCGTGCCCTGAACACGTGTATGCATGAGCCTGTGTGTGGGAGCACGCGTGTGCACACCAGGAGCACGGCACGCGCAGATGCCACCCGCCGCCCGCAGGAGACACAGGCCACGGTGGCCTCACGGAGCAGGACTCAGGTCGGGGGGCGGTGGCACGGGGCTCCGACGCAGGTGCTGGGATCGCCCGCCCTGCCAAAGGAGGGACGGGGTGGCCCCGCAGACATGCGTGCCCAGGTTTGGAGGCGCAGGGACGGCACAGGGCTGATGTTAGGTTCCAGAAGGCCGAGCTCTCCCCGGGGTGGCAGTGATGAGGGGGGCGCGGGCGCTGCCGGCAGGTGGGGGCAGGGGACACACATGCCCCCCGCAGACCTGGCCCCGACCGACCAGCGCGGAAGGGGAGCCAGCCACCGCTCCCCGAGGACACGTTAGTGGGGAAGACGTCGGTTGTGCAAAAGCCACAGCCCCGCTGCTAGCAGCCCACGGGCCGGGAGGCAGACGTTGTGAAACCCAGAGACGCCGCTGAGCTTCGCGAACAAAGGCCACGGCAGCCGTGTCCTGTGGCTGCCACCGCGGGTGGTAGGGACCATCACCCCCTGACAGCCTGGGGTGGGCCATGTCCTGGCTGCGGGAGCACTGAGTGAGTCTACGGGGGGGGGGCACCCCGCACTCCCGGCCCGACTCACCCCTGCCTCGCTCTGCTGCTCCGCCCTCCGCCCTCCGCCCCCTCCCTGCCCAGGGGCCTGGCCCCAGCCACAGCCCAGCCGCAGGGGTCACTGACCCTCCCCCCGGGTCCCCGCGCTCCTTGCACCAGTGGCTTCTGACCACCTGCTTGCGTCAAGCCTTGACTATTGGCACAAGAGCACCGGGCTCCTCCCGGCGGGGTCGCGTCAGGGCACGTTACTGTGTCACAGACGCTGCCGCTGTGGCCTCCGCCTCCCGCCTCCCCCCTCCCACCGCAAGGAAAAGGGGCGGGGGCGGGTGCCGGCGTGGGGAACCTGGGCCCCTGACCACACGCTCCCAGTCTGCCCCACGCCGTCCCGGGCATCTGGCCCGCCCATGGCTGGTGGGTGACCCCTGGCTTCAGGGAACCGGGCGCTGCTTTGGTCCACAGCGTGGCCACAAGGCCGCACACCGAGGCGGACCCCCCTGCCGCGCGGTGGCCCTCGGGCACAGTACGTGACCGACCCGCATGAGGTGCCACCGTGGAAGTAGGTAGGGACGTTCAGAGGCAGCGGGCTGGCAGCCGGCAGGTGCCCCAGTAACGGGCAGGAGCACGGCCCCGGGGGACACCCGCCCCACGCTGGACTCGAGAGGAGGAAACCTGCAAAGCCCTGATTTCCTGGGCAGACACAGCAGAGGCTCCTTGGGGCGCCAGGCGGGGGCGTGGGGGTGGGACGCCCACCCGGAGGGGCCGCCCCGCGTGCTGCACCTCCCGGAGCCCGGTCGCACGAGTCACAGCGGGACCCTCGCCCCAAAAGTCTGGAGAGCCTGGGGCTGGGGCGGCTGGTCTCCGGTCCCACAAGCCTGGCCCCTCAGCCAGCTGCAATCGGACCAAACACCCACACGGAACATTCCTGAAGCCTCCAGTCGGGCCGCCAGGGGCCGGACACGGGGCTCGGGAGGACGCGACATCCACTGGGCCTCCAGCCGCCCCCCAGGGTCTTCCCAACGCCCGAGGCTCGGCCGCCACGCTACACGCCACGGGCGTCTCCCACGTTACGTATCTCAAGGGCTTGCGTGAAAAAGTGACAAGATAAAAAGGCAAAAAGCAAACGGGAGATAAAATTTACAGCGGACGGGACGGAGGACCGGTTCTCTCCTACGGAAAGAGCTTGGGACAAGCCAGGAAGAAGCCGTGGAACCGCTCAGAGCAAAGCCGCAAAGCACAGAAACAGGCCAGCCACAAAAGAACCAATTGTGTCCTTTTTTTTAAAGAAAAAATTCGAATAACCAAGAATTGTGTGCAAAAATGAAAGCGTGTCTACGCCAGCAACCCAGGCACACACGTCCACACACCCGGATGCTGCGGGCCTGTGGGACTGGCGACCGCGCTCCGCGTCGGGGACCCGCAGCCGCGCCCCGGGCCACCCCGTCCCCGGCCGCCTCGGCGCCCCGGGAGACGCGACACCAGCCCTCCCGGCCCCCCCGGCCTCCTCCCAGTTCGTGTTTGAGGCTCAGCCTGAAAACACAAAGGGGCCCAGTGTGGTGTCCAGGCCCCGGCGGCCCGACCCCGAGGCTCGGAGTTCCTGCGGGGGGAAAGGTCACCGCGCCGTCGCCGTCCCGGGCTGAGAACCTCCTCCTCAGGCCGCCCTTTGTCTGGGCGATGATTCACCTTGTCCCCCGGGGGGCCACCCCCTCGGGCCCACACGGGGACCCCGTCTGGACCACGCGGCAGGGCCGGTGCAGGGGCAGGTGGGGACCCATGAACCGTGCCCGCAAGCGAGCGTGGGAGGCCGCGGCCCTGGGAGAGACCCCACCCGGGCTCCGGGATCTGCGTCCTGCGGAGAATGAGGCTGGGCCTGGGCCTGGGGGACGGGGCCTCCCCGAGGGCCGGGTGCAGGCCTGGGGCGACGGCCCTCGCTGCTCCCCAGCCAACTGCGCGGCGGCTGCAGGGGTCGGTGAAAATGAGGACGAGCAGCAGGTTGATGCAGGGGTGACGTGACCCCCCCCCGAACCCCTCCCAGCGCAGCGGGTGGGCGGCCTTCCCGCCAGGAAGACCCTCGTGGAGGGAGGTGCCCACGGGGCTCAGACAGCAGGGAAGAGCCCGACCTGCGAGGACCCCGGATGTCCCCGGCTCCACAGCACAAGGGGGTCACGGCACCTGTCCCTGGAGCCCCCACCCCCCAGGCAACCCCCACCCCCCGGGAGGCCCCCACCCCCAGGACGGCCCCCACCCTGAGGGATGGCCCCCGACCCCAGGAACGGCCCCCACCCCCCAGGCGGCCCCCACCCTGGGGCGGCCGCGGTCGCTTACCTGGAACTTGTCGGGGTCCGCTCCTCCCGCCTGGGCCACGAACAGCCCGGCGCCGGGCTCCAGCTGCAGGCCCCCCGGGGAGCGCTCCAGGGGCACCCTCTGGAACAACTCGCAGTCCACGAACAGCGCCACCGTCGCGCCGTCCACGCTGAGCGCCAAGCGCGTCCACTGGCCGGTGAAGGCGGGCAGGCGGAAGCTGGCGGCCGTGCGGGTCCGGGCGGCCCCGGGCTCCGTGTACAGGAGCTGGACGTGCTGCTGCCCGTCACGCACGCCCGACAGCTTCACGCCCACGGAGACCACCGCCTGGGCCGCGTCCGTGATGGCAAACAGCACCCCCGGGCCCTCGGTGGCCGGCCGCACGTGCATGAGCAGCGAGAAGTCACGGAAGAACGGGCTGGGGACGTGGTACCGGGCCACCTGGCCGCTGTTGGCATCCGGGCCGAAGACGAAGGCCGGCCCCACGTCGGGGTCGTCTACCTGGGTGACCTGTTGGGGCAGGGGCTCTCCCAGCAGCTGCAGAAGCCCCACCTCCGAGCCCTGGCTCTCTGCAAAGAGGAAAAAGACCCCGGTGAGGCTGTGCCCGGGAGCAAGCAGGCAGGGCACCGGGGGGACACTGAGGCACGAGGGGCTCCGGGCCCGCTTCTACAGGCACCATGGACGGCCAGGACTCGTGGCCACAGGCCACCGTCCCTCCTTCCATGGACTCCCAGGCCCCGGGGGACGCGATAGGAACTGTCCCAACCAGGGGGCCAGAGGCCGTGTCTGCGCAGGGCACCCCGTGAGCTCAGGGCCGGCGGCCCACACATGTGCTGGGACCCCAGCCCAGCCTCCACCCCCGGGACCACCCCACCTGGCCGCGGGCCTCAGTGGGCCTCAGCCACACGTCTGCAGGGCCACAGAGGGAAACCCTACAGCCCAGCGGCCCCGCAGGCTTATCCCCGTGAGGAGCCAGCCTGCACACAAATAAACCCCGGGGCAGATCGGGGCCCGGTGCTTGTGGTCTGAGCCTCTGCGCACACTTGTAACACAGCCCACCAGGCGCCCAGCTTTGTCGGGGGCCTTGTGCGGTGTCCCTGCCCACCGTGTCGTGGAGTCCCAGCCCCAGCGGGTCCCTCTCGGGGTGAACCCCAGAACAGGGAGGTGGCGCGAGTCTAGGCTGGGGACACAGTATGGTGCCCAGCCTTCTCCCGTGTATCTTGTCCTTCCAGGTGGGACCAGAAGGCTTCCTGGGCAGGCAGGGGCCACCAGAGCCTGCGACCTTGGGCCAGGAGCATCAGGCGCTGGGCACAGAGGGCAGGGCCTCTCCGTTAGTGATTTCCTGCCTGTGTGCCCACAGTCGGAGCTGGGAATCCGGGGCCACAGTGCGGCCAAGAGCCCCGACCCCAAGCCCCTTCTCTGAAGACCCTGGTGTGGTCCACCTGCAAGGGGAGAGTGGAGGAGACGCTCTCCGGGGAAGGGGCTACTGGTGAGTGGGAGTCCTGAGGAGGGCGGTGGGTGGGTACATGGGCTCTGGCCCTGAGCGGCAGGGCCCGGCTGACCCGGTCAGAGCAGGGGTAGAAATGCCAAACCCCAACTGCCTAAGGCAAGCTCCATCTTTAAAAGAGCTCTTGGAGACAGAACAATGAACACAGAGGAAAGCCCGGAGCCACGGAGGGCAGGAGCACATGCCCTTTGGGTCCCTCCCGGGGCTGGTGTGCCCGGGGCGGTGCTGGGCATCCCGTCTCCCCTCTGCAGGGTCCTGACTTCCCACCAGCACCACCAGCCAGGGCCCCCCTCACCTGCAGGCAAGACCCTCATGCCAAGTCAGTGCAGGCACAGCCTCGCTCCGGCAGCGGCCTGGCCTTAGGCCTAGGGAGCAGGGGGTGCCTCACGGGAAGACCCCAGGCCCCGGGAAGACAGCCCCTGCTTGATGCTCAAAGTCAGACCCTCCCTGCTGTGTACCCAGATGGCAGCTGCTGCGACGCCCTCTTCACATCACAAGTTCCCGGGGCTGAGGGTGCACTCGGGGAGACGTTCTGAGACTCAGGAACAGAACTCTGCCCAGCCTGCATGTCATGGCGCTGCCGTCCTGACTCAGCTGTGCCCAGAGTTAAACATGGGCACGCCCACCACTGCCGCTCCTCCCAGGCAGCTACGAGTTCTCCAGACTGCTGTACAATGCAAGATGCAGCAGCCGTGGATGTCCTGGGCTGCAGGACAACGGCACGCTACAAGGGCAGGCCCGGGTCCCCGGCGAGCCTCGGGCAGCTCCTCTTCCTCTCCACGAAAGTCCTCGTTGTTCCCATGGGGAGTAAGTGTCCAAATGCCACAGCCCTAAAATCATGGGTCCGCTGTCCAGTTGCAGGCACTGTGAGCGGAGGACGCGGTGCGGTCACCTCCCTGCAGAGCTCGTGGCAGCTGCTGCTCTGAAGGCCCTGGCCCAGCTGTTGTGGGCAGGAAACCAAGATCTCTCCAAAAAAGCAAATGCCCGTGCCATGCTCTGAGAGTCTGGAAGAACACCTTCGTGGGAACACAGCGGGTGATATCTTTTGGCAAGTGGGGCCCCCTCCTGTTGGCCGACGCTCACTCGGGTTAAGGAATCGGGGGACTTGCCTAGTTGGGAACAACCTCCCTTGCGGACAGGCCAGCCATGACCAGGTGGGACTTATCCTGGTACGTCAGGCTGGTTCAACCTTCAAAACCCAACTAAGGGAATCCACCTCCTCAACGCAGTGACTAAAAAGAATCACAAAATCATGTCTACAGATGTAGAAAAAGCATTTGACCGAATCCAACACTCACTCATGGTGAAAGCTCTCAGTAAATCAGGAATAAAACAGAAATTCCTTCACTGGATGAAGAATTCCTACAAAACATCCCTACGGCTCATAACCCACTTGATGGTGAGAAACCTGAAGCTTTCTCACCGAGATTGGGGACAAGGTAAGGACGTCTCTCTCACCGTGGCTTTTCAAAACCGGGCTAGAGATCCTGGCTAAAGCAATAAGGCAAGAACAGGAAATAGAAGTACACAGATTGGGAAGGAAAAGAAACCGTTGTCTGTCCGTAGAGGACGTGACCGTCTATGCAGAAAATCCAAAAGAACTGACAGAAAAACAAAACCAGTCTCCTGGAAGTGATTACTCAAGGTCGTAGGATGCACGATCAATATACGGAATTCAGTCCCTTTCCTACGTATCAGTAACGAACAAGCAGGATTTGGAATCAGAGACACACCGTTTCCATTAGCATTCCCGCCGACAACTTATCTAGGTTAAATATAACGCGTATACGCACAACATCCACAGGAGAAAAACTGCAAAATTCTGCCAAAATAAATCAAAGAACTAAATCAATGCAGGGAGAGTCCCTGCCCATGGATAGAAAGACTCAGGCTTGTCAGGATGCCAGGTCTCCCTGCCCTGGCCTGTAGACTCAATGCCGCCCCAATCAAAATCCCACCAAGGTTTCTGTGGTTATTGACAAACGGATTCTAAAGTCTCTGTGAGAAGCTAAAGGACCCAGAATAGCCAACACCATGTTGGAAAAGAGTGAAGTCGGAGGACGACACTCCGCGGCCCCAGCACTCGCTGTAGGGCGGCCGCGATCAGGACCGTGTGGCCCTGGGCGGGGGGGGGGGACAGGCCAGCAGGTGGACGGAACAGGAGGGAGAGCCCAGGAACAGAGCCACACGAACGCCCCCGACGGATCCTTGACAAAGGAGCGAGGCCACCCACGGGGCGAAGGCCGTGCCCTCCGCAGGCGGTGCTGGACAACTGGACGTCCACACGCAGAGGGAACGTGGACACGGACCTTAGGCTCCTCTCGACTGGCTCACAAGGGGTCACGGACGCGGTGTAGGATGCGAAACTATGACACTTCTAGAAGACGACACAGGAGAAATCCCCGGTGACCCTGGACGGGAGGATGACCCTGTAGACCCGGCACCACGGGTCCAATCCAGGAGACAAACAACTGACCAGCTGGACCTTGTCCTGTGAAAGTCAGGAGGGTGAGAGGACAAGCACCGACCGGCAGCAAATATTTGCAAAAGACACAGCTGATGGAGGACGGCGTCTACGATACATAAAGATCTCTGAACACTCAACAACACGACCTAACAACGTGTTTAAGAGCGGGCGGGAGACCTGCACAGAGACACTCAGGTGGCAGATCAGGAAGGCTGCTCCGCGTCCCAGGCCGTCAGGGAGACGGTGACGAAGACGTGGGTGACCCGGCGATGGCAGCCAGGGCGGGAGGGCTGTGCACCGCGCGACGGTCTGGGGCAGGCACAGCCGGGGGGACGGGGCAGGCTGGGGGACCGGGGGTGGGGAGGAGGACTCCCAGGGCCAGCACCCGTGAGGGGCCGCAGTGCTGGGCGCGTCGTCCCCCGGCCCCCGCCAACCTCACGTCCCCCGCGGGCCCCGGGTGATGACGACGTGTGGGTGCGGGTTCACCCGGGATCACACGCACAGCGCGGGTGCGGGATGTGGCGGGAGAGAGCGGGGCCTGCGGAGCAAGCAGGTGACACTTTTCGACAATCCACGGAGACGTGACGGGCCAGGCATCAGCCCACGCACCCAACTAACACCCCCGGTGAGACGGACGAGCAGGGACTTCCTGAACCTGATAAGCGTTGGAAGGACGCTGCACTCCCGCAGCTTATTACACTTGGTCACAACCACAAGGCAACAGACGGCCGAGCTGTGTCGACAAATGTGCTGAGAACGAACACCTCGGGGCACCTGCGGGCTCAGGGGCTGAGTGTCCAGCTCTTGGTTTTGGCTCAGGTCCTGAGGGATCGGCCCCGGGTCGGGCTCTGTGCTCAGCGGGGAGCCTGCTGGAGCCTCTCCCTCTCGCTCTCCCCACCCCAAATAAATAAATCCCAGTCCCTCCGGGGTGAGGGTACCCGCGGCTGACGTGTGGATACCATCCATGCTCGTCTTCATGTTCAACGCAGGCCACCCAAGCCCGAGCGAAAGGTTTCTGAAGCTCTGGAGAGAAGATGCCCAAGGACATGATGACCTCTGCAGAGGGTCGTGACCCCGGGGCCCAGGGCCACGCCAAGCACCACCGTCACCAGGAGCCCAAATCAGGGCCCTCGGGGACGGGCGAACAGATCAGAGAGGGTGCGCGGAGCCAGTACAGCATCCTCTGTTACAGGAGGCGGGGGCCACCCAAAGGTCCGCCCTCGAGGGGGAGGGAGGACACACCAGAGCACCCAAGCCTGAGAGCACCTCCCAGAGTGCCACGGGACGTTTGAGACCCGTCGCCGTAAAGAGGGACTTCTAGGTACATAGCAAGTGAGCCCATCCATGCAGAGCAAGGACCGGGGTGTAGATCCGTAAGGGCGCCCGTGCACGCACATGCACACGCACGCGCACGTGCACGCCGTGGTAGGCAGCTCAGGGCCCTAATGTCCGTTCCGCGTGCCCGACCCTGCAAGTGGTGGTTTGCAGAGGGGCGGAGTGTCACGGCCCCAGATGGGGAGGTTCATCAAACCTAACGCGTGCATCCCGAAGAGCAGGGGGGGCACACTGGCGGCCCCCAGAAGCCTGCAGAGGCGGGCACGCTCTTCCCTGCGGCCCCCAGAAGGAGCACAGCCCTGCAGACACACCTCCGCCTTAGCCCCGTGAGACTCCGACCTCGAGAACAGCGTTTGTGTCGTCTTCCACCACGAGGGTCGTGGTCACGCATCACAGCAGCCACGGAAACTCAGGCACACGCATCTGTGCAAGCCCACGGCGGGAACAGAAAGACGCCCCATCCCAGCAGCCAGGGGCGCTTGGAAGGCGCCTTCAGCCCTCTCCTGTGCGCTCCAGTCTCGATGCCAGCGTGCCCGTGAGCTAGTCCTGGGGTAGACGTAACCCGGGGAGAACAGGAAGACGGAGCAGCGTGGTCCTAGGGGAGGAGAGGGGCAGGACAGGTGGCCCCCCCCAGGTCAGCGTTTGCGGGTTCGGGGGCAGGAAGGCTCACTCCGAGCACTGGCTCTCTCCTCCTCAGAACTGAGGCCACGTGTCTGCAGACCCAGGTCTTTCCAAGGGGGGCTGCCCACGGGTGCAGTGCAAGGGGGCGGGGGCCCTGAGCGGTTTCACATGCTTCAAAGACACGTTGGGGCCCCTGGGACCCTGGCCGTGGTGCCTGCAGTGGACGAGGCAGCCCTGTCAGCCTCTGGGCACACGGCCCCAGGGGAGGGAGTGGCTGCGGGCCTCCCGTGTGCCCAAGGACCAGGAATCAGGAGAAGAACTTGGAGGGAAAGCAGCATGGCAGTGGGCGAGAGGCTGGGCCCAGACACCAGCAAGGGAAAGCCTCACGGGCAGCATCCTACGCTGGAATCACTGACACACAAAACTGCTCAACAGCGCAGGGCTGAGCGTCTGCCCCTGCCACCTGGTTCGCTCCAGACACAGGTTCCACGACAGAAACAAACTGCGTATTACGTGGGACAATCACATTCCAACACGGTAAACCTGATCCAACACCCAGATGGATGGACAGATGGGGGGGGGTGGGGGGGGATGGAGGGATGGGTAGGTGGATGGATGGATGGATTTGTGGATGGATGGGTGGGTGGAGGGATGGAGGGGATGGAGGGATGAGGATGGATGGGTGGATGGGCAGGTGGATGGATGGATGGAGTGATGGGTGGATGGGTGGATGGGTGGATGATGGATAGATGGATGCTAGGTGGATGGGTGAAGGGATGGATGGAGGGATGGGTGAAGGGATGGATGGAGGGATGGGTGAATGGGTGGATGGGCAGGTGGATGGATGGATGGATCTGTGGATGGATGAGTAGATGGAGGGATGGAGGGATGGAAGGATGGGTGGATGATGGATAGATGGATGCTGGGTGGATGGATGGAGGGAGAGAGGGATGGATGGGTAGGTGGATGGATGGATGGATCTGTGGATGGATGGCTGGATGGAAAGATGGGTGAATGGATGGAGGGATGGATGGATGGATGGACAGGTGGATGAGTGGACGGATGAAGGTGGGTGGGCCACCTTCTCACATGATATATAATAGTAACAATAATTTAAGACTTGATTTCTCAACTGAAAAGGAAAGCGGTCAAAGGTCACGGCCGTGCAGCAGGATGGACAGCTCCTTCACCAAGGGGAAGGACAGTGTCAGGGAGCTGGCCCCCGGGGGAGGGCATACTCGCAGCCACCATCTCGCCTCCCCTCAGTGAGGCCAAAGATGAGCTCCTGTCTGCACGATGTCCCACGTCAGCCTTCCTCAGAGCAGGAGGGAGTAACCGCCAAGACCACGCTGAGCTGGACGCTGAGGGGCGGACGCAAACCGCCATTCCGAGAGCCACCTGCCTCCCGACCTGCGGGCCGTCGCATCCACGGCTCCGGGCACCTGACGCCCCAGCAAGGAAGCCGAAGCCATGGGGGCGCCTCCGGGAAAGTTCGACCATGTCCTCAATGGTACTTGTAGGTTTGCTGGTTGGGGGGGGGGCAGGCCTAGGCACCCGTCCACGAGGCGGCCTCGTCTCCTTACATCAGAGTCACGTGGACACCGCAGGCGACTGAAGCATTTAAACAACACTAACCGCTTCTGAACTCACATCCTATTAAAGGCAGTGGATCGAAGCCCAGCGTCTGGGAAGCCTGCGCGCTTGGCGGGTCCCTGACAGACGGGCTGGGCGTCATCCCCGAGCCGTCACCGTGACGCGTCCCCACTGGCCAGCTGGGGTCCCCGCGGCCCGGGGCTCTGCTTCTCCGGCGTCCGTGCAGCACTGAAGCGCAGTCCCGGGCCACTCCCGCTCCCTCTGGCTAGCCGAGCAGCGCACACCCCGTCTCTATCCCCACTAGGCCTCGGGTTCTCCCCTGCAGGCAGGAGTAACACCTGCTCCCAGGCTCGGAACACGACCCGTCCTCACCCTCATCCCCGGGGACGTCATAAAATTTGCAGACAGAGCAAAGCCCGGGGTGCCCCTGTCAGTGGGGACAGCCCTCCTCGGGGCCCCCTTACCTGGGGGACAGTCCCCCTGCTGCCTGACCCTCCCCTGCGCAGGGGCCCTACTTGCTTTGCTCTGGGGCCTGAGGGACGAGCCCCCACACGGACAGAGGGCCGTGGTCCCCGACAGCGCGCTGACCCACGGCTGGCTGCAGCCACAGCACGGGGGCTCCCAACGCAGCCCTCGCCTCCCGGGCGCCTCCCTGGGCCCCGACCCGTGGCTGCGCCGTCCCCCCCCCACCCCCCCCACTCCAGGGCTATCGTCAGCCCTCCCCGACCTGCTCTCCCTGTGGGGACAGGAGGGAAGCAGACAGAGCTGCGGCCTCAGCTGGGGCCCATCCCACACCACGCTGCCCCCACAGCCATCTCTGCCCCGGGGCCTGGACGGGGACAGCCCTTGCCCTGTGGCCTCCGTCCCCTCCAGACAACCTTCATGCCCCCCACCAACCCCCACCCCGCAGCCTCTCGCTACCCAGGCGGCCCATGGACCTCCCTCAGCCAGGACCCTGACGCCCACCACCGGGGCCCGGTCACCAACATGGGGGAGGGGCCAGGGTGACCCCCGATCGGGGCCCCCCCAGACCTGCCCCCACCGGGCGGGGATGCAAAGGCCCCGGGGCCCAGCGGAGGCCAGAGGAGGTACGATGCTCCCAGCCCCGGCTCCCCCTGGACCAAGGCCGCCAGGCCCCGCCCAGCACGGATCCTGGGTGATGAACGCCTGACCCCCGCCTCCGGCCTGACGGGCCAGGCAGTTAGCACAGCGTCCCCCAGGGCTCTGCCGGGAACACGGCCTCCCTGAGCCTGGCCCCGCCAGCGGATGCAGATGTCCACTGAAAAGTCCCTTTCAGGCCGCTGGGCCGAGAAGGCAGCTGCGGTTGGAGCCTCTCCCCGCCCCCGCCGCCCCGCTCCAGCTCCCGGTGCAGCCGAGCCCCCGGCCCGGAGACCGGCGGGGCCCCCCACGTGCGTCCAGGCCCGGGGCGGACAAGACCCAAGGGCAGGCCTGGCCTCCCGCCCCGTGGAGGAGGGGGCGCAGAGTCCGAGTGGCCCCTGGGCGCTCCCGGCCGGCCTCCCCGCACCCTCAGCGGACACGGCACAGAACCCCAAGGATGCCCACGCTCGCCCACGCTCGCCCAGCATCAGGCGGCCCGGGGCCCAGCACCCTGGGAACAGCTCACCGAGGCTCTGAGCCCCGCGTGCGGCCCCAGCGCCCCGGCCGCTCCGCCCTGCACACACCCGGACCCCAGGGCAGCCTGTGCACGTGACCCCGAGGCCACTCCTGCCGGCACACAGGGCTCAGCCTCCCGTTCCCCGTCTGCGGCAGCCACGCACCCATCCCTGTCCCCTCACCACCCACCTGGCACGCGCCCCGGGCCCAGCAGGGCGACACCCCCACCCTGGGGTCCGGGGCAGCTCCTGCACCACCAGCCCGGCCCCAGAGCCCAGGGACCCCAAAGACCGCGGCAGGGGCAGCCTCACCGCGGGGCCCTCCCTCCCGTGGCTGCGGGGGCAGCTGGGGCGTCTCCGAGCCACGGCCCTGCCCGGTGCCCTGCCGACCACGTGGTGATGGGGGCGCAGTTCAGGTTGGGGGTGAGGCCCAGGAGGCCCCAGAGCACACACCCGGGGGCTGGGGCGGTGCCGAGCTCTGCAACTCACTGCTTGCGTGGCCGAGACCACCCGCCTTGTGGGCAGCAGGAACCCCCCGCATCGGGCCTGCACCCTGCCACACGGCTGGACCAGCGGCTGCTCCCGGCCCCGTGCCTCGGGCTCCCCTCCCGACCGCGGTGTAACGGGCACCTCGGGGCCGTGGGCGGGCGAAACGAGCCCCCCGCTCGGGCAGGGGCTGCTCCTGAGGGTGGGCCGCCGTCACGGGGTCACCAGCCCGGCCTCCGTCTAGGAGCCTGCCCCCACCCCGCAAGGGCGGCCCCGCGGCCCGGCTCAGCACCGGTTCCCAGGCGCCCGGCAGGACGCGGAGGGCCGCGGGTTACCTGCACCGGGCCCAATGAACACGCACAGCCCGTCCTCCTGGGCGGGGAGCGAGGCGCAGGGCACGGGCAGCCCGGCCCCGGGCAGGTGGCTCCAGCAGGCGTCCTCCAGGGCCTCGCAGAACTGGCGGCAGGGCGGGGGCGCGGGCGGGGGGCCGGAGCGGCAGGGCGGGGCCAGCAGCAGGCAGACGAACCGGGCGAGGAAGCGGTGGCAGCGCGTCCGCAGGAGGCCCCCCCACGCCCGGGCGGCGGCGCGCACCTCGTGGCGGCTGGCGTGCTGCAGGTGGTTGGGCAGCCAGGCGCGCCCGATGCCCAGGCGGCCGCACACCGGCAGGGCGGGCGGCAGGGGCAGGCAGCGGCCGGCGGCGGGGACGGGCCGCCCAGCGGGGGTCAGCGGGGCAGAGTTATTAGCAGGCCCAGGCCCCAGAGAGTCCGCGGCGGGAGCAGCCCAAGCACCCCTGCCCCCGGTGACAGCTGAGAGTGGGGTTCCAGGCAGCAGGGCGGGGGGGTCAGAGGACAGAGCCGAGGGGGCCGCGTCCGCGCCCAGAGCACCCATCACCAGGGGAAGCAGATGCGGCGAGCGCCCGCGGAGGCCGGGGAGTCGGTGCTGCTGGCCGGGCCAGAGTCCCTCGCTGTCCAGATCCTGGGGCGGCCCCGGGGACGGCTGGCTCCCCCCAGGAGGAGCCCCACGGGGCGCAGAGGACAGAGAGGCTCTACCTGGAGAAGGCGGCGGCCCCGAGGGCTCCCTGAGCGCTGCCCGGGGCTTGTCCAGGGAGGGGGGCAGCTGGGTGGGTGCCGGCAGGGTGCTGGCCTCCACGCGTGGGGCGTCTGTGCTGCCCAGCCAGAGAGCCGTCCCGTTCTCCGGGGGGGGCCGGGAGGGCCCCGGGAGGGTGAGGGGGCTGGTGGGGGTCACGGGGGCAGGCGGCCCTGCCGTGCTGGAGCTCTCCGGGCGCGTGGTGTCGTCCCACAGCTGGACGAAGCTCCGGATGCCCTGAGCCACGTTCAGGATCTTGGCTCCCACGCCGGCGATGTTCTCCTCCTTCTCCTCCTTCGGGTCTGGGCCCGCGGGGGGTGCAGAGGGTGCGGCAGAGGCCGCGTGCTCGTCGGTCTCCAGCCCCCGCAGGGGCGGCTCCGGGCTGGCGGGGGCATTGCCCTGCTCCGTGGGGCCGGGCTGGGGGGTCACAGGCGTGCTGGTCTCGTCTCTGGGCTGCACATGTGGGCTCCCTGGGGCCTCCGACACCGGTTTGGCCGTGGGCCCGGCGGTCCTAGTGGACCACAGCCAGTTCAGGCTCAGTAGGTCAACCTGGGCGGCCGCGGGGCAACAGGTGAGCAGCAGCAGCAGCAGCAGGCAGCGGCCGGGGTGGCGAGCCATCGGTGCTGTGCGCCCGGCGGGGCCCGGGCGGTGTCTGCGTCCTGGGGGCGGGCCCAGCCCGGCTCCGCCCCCCTGCCTGCTGGCTCCCTGCAGCAGACGCTGTCTCCGGCTCCGCCTTCCCGCCTTCCCGCCCTGGGCCAAGGGACAGGATCCCGGGACGGCTCTCCCTGCACCCCTGCACCCCTGCACCCGTGCACCCCTGCACCCCTGACAGCAGGACGGCTTCCAAGCTCTGCCCACCTCCCTGCCCCTGCTGACCCCGGGGCTGCGTCCCCAGGCAGGGCAGGCGCGGGGGCTCCTCCCAGGGCTGGGTCCCAGAGACAGCCGGGGGCCTGGGGCCTGTGCTCGAGGGGGGGCAGGAGACCCCGCCACGGAGAGCAGCCGGGCCGGGGCCGCCCGCCGGTGCCAAACTGCCCCTCAGAAGACGCTCAGCGTTGCGGTTCTTGTGCAGCAAGCGTTGCCTCTGAGACGTCGACGGGTGCAGCCCCCGAGGGCAGCAGTGCACCCCCCGGGCCACGCGGCCTCCCGCTCAGACACAGGGCACCTCCGTGCTGGACGCATCCCCATGGCTCCGCCGTCCTGAGGGCGTCCTGAGGGTGCAGAACACTGGCACGCGGGGGGCCGGGGGGGCCCTGGGGCCTGTGGGCGCTGGAGGTGCAGACCGTGTGTAGACCGTGCTGCGGATGGCACTGGGTGGGGGGGCGTCCCTGGGCAGCCGGGCGGCAGAGGCGGGTGGGTCTCCCCATCCACGCACGGGCCCAGGCCTCGGCCTTCATCCCAAGAACCTCGAATGACACAGAGGCCAGCGGGCCTACGAACGAGCCACTGAGGCACGGCTGAGGGCGCAGAGCCCAGAGGAGCGGGCCAGAGGGCACCGCACACAGGCTTACAGGGCGCGCTCGCCCCTCGGACACTCACGCCAGCGCACAACCACATGCTGCTTTTACCACCACGTTGTACAGCAGCTCCCACGTCCCCTGGAAACCCCGCCCCGGGCGCCGGGGTCAGCCGTGTGGCCGGACAGCCCTGCAGCGTGTCCCCGGCCGTCCCCAGCTCGGGGCGCGGATGCGATCAATCAGCTGCCGTCCAAAGGGCAGAGCCCGGCCACCCGGGTCAGAACTCGGGTTTCAGGGAAGCAGAACACTGTGTCCCCTCCGCAGACGGGCGCGTCCCATATGCAAACATCTGTGTCCCGGCCTCGCGCCCAGCGCTAATCCCCGCAGCGCTCAGAACTCCCACAAACGCTCAGAGGATCCTCTCTTTGCTTGAGGACGCGCTAATGTGATTTTATGCCTAAAAGTGTCTCCGGAAAAAAACCTCAGGACAGAAATGCCAAAGGCCCGCTGTCTCCCGCACGTGGAGGGGGCCCTAGGCGCATGGCAGCTGGGCTGGCTGGTCCGCGCGGGTGGCCCCGGCCCCACGAGCTCCCCCACACACGTCACTCGTACGTTCAGGTGCACGCGCACGCCTTCCAGGGGTGCACGCTTGCACACGTACACGCACACACGCTCACACGCGTGCACACAGCTTACACCCACACGCACACTCGTGCATGCGCACTCACGCGACGTTCATCCACAAACACATTTGCACACGCAGGCGCAGCCGGCAGCTCTCAGGAAGCGCCGCGCTGTGACCAGCTGCCCACCCCCCTGCACCCCCGTCCGGCTGTGGGTACAACAGGCCCGTCCCCAGCCCAGTGCCCACCCGGGGGGCCCTCGCCACAGGGTCTGGATGCCGGGGCTCCCATGGGCGCCCCATGTAACGGGTGCCGTCGGCCTCGTGCCCCTGGAGCCTGCCCCCAGCAGCCGCGACGGGGTGAAGCAGGGGCACCCACTTGAAATCCTGGAAACAGGAGTATCATCGGGTCAGCGCTACCTTCCCCGAAGCAGCTGGCTCACGAGGCCCCGAGCCCGGCCGCTCCTACGGCCCACGCAGACCTCCACCCGACCCCGACGGCAGGATCCCGCCTCCGCGGCCCCAGGGCACCCCTGCGCTCCGGCTCCGAGGCAAGTGGCCAAGCAGGGGGCTCCTGCGGGCACCGCCTGGGGGGAGGGAGCTACACCCACCCCAAGTCCCTCCCTACGAGGGTCTCAAACTGTGTCTCCCTGGGATTGAAAAATCAGGGTCTACGGGGAAGAGCAGCCCCAACCTGCCCGAGTTTCTAGAGAGACGCAGAGGCCCCCCACCCCCAGCCCCAGGGTGGCTCAGCGCTCAGGCACTATGGCCAGAAGGAGCCCCCCCACCCCCGATTAGGCCACAGGGGCCTGAGGGGAGGGTGCACGGCTGTGGTGACCCGGCTCCTACCCCCCACGGTCGCCCGGCTTCCGCGGCACTTCACGCACGTGGGGGCGCGTCCTGGTGCCTGGTGCCCCCGGGAGGCCGGAGTGGCCAGACGGGCTCGGGTGTCCGTGCTGCCCCGGGCGCCCCCGCCCTGCGCCCCCGCCTCCTCCCCCCCCCCCCCCCCCCGCCAGGGTTTGTTCGGTCTTGCCGGCCTGTCTGGTTTGGATTCCTGAATAATGTGCTCTTTTATTTTCGTTTTTGAAAGAGCAAAACACCCACACGGGAGCAGAGAACACGGGCTCTCTGAGGAATGGGCCGCCGCCCGGACAGGAGCCCCCGTCTGAGCCCCAGAGAACGGCTGACGGTCTCTCCGGCGCTCCCCCCCCCCCACTCCCACGGCCTCCCTGGGACCTGCTGGCAGCCCTGGGGTCCTCTTTCCTCACTCCCCCCTCCGGCCCAACACGTGTCCCCGAGCCTCCGGGGAGCCGACCTGGGCCCCGGGCTCCCCGCACCCGCTGCCCAGGGACAGGCTCCCAGGTGCCAGCACATCCAGGACAGGTCCCTACCCCGCGGACACGTGTCCAGCTCTTTCGAAACGAAAACACAATGTTTCATCTTCCGGTGGTGCAACTGGTTGATCATTGCCTCCCGCACCAGGAGGACTTCTGTGAGCACCGTGATAAGAGACCAGCTCCTGAAGGCTGGGGAGGGGCTGACGAGTGGGCTCCCAGCGGGTCCCCGGTGGGCGGCCGGGGCGCTGCTGTCAGACCCAGGGACACGCGGTGGCCGTGCAGTGGGCCCAGGTCAAGGCCCAGGCCCCTGGCCTCGCCCGTGGGACGGCAGGGACACGGCACCTCGTCTGACCTGTAACCACCCGGACGCCGGGTCCTCCTCCAACTCCGTGCTCCCCGGGAGGCTCACACCCACCCCTCCCCGGCAGGGAGCGCAGGGACCCCCATGGCCCCCACACACGGCCTGCGGCTGGCAGCCCGGCATTGCCAGGGCTCTGCTGTCCCTCTGCCGGTGGGGGGGAGCTGGTGGGAAGCAGCACCCCCAGCCTGCAAGCCCAAGTCCCTCTGTGGGTGGCAGCAAAGCCAGGGAGAGCCCTTTGGCCCCTAAAGGAGGGCCAAGCCCTGCCCAGCACACAGCACCGTCCCTGCCGCGGGCCTGGGGGTGACAAAAGGCAGGAGGGTCTCTACAGCCTCCGCCCCACAGAGGCCACCCTCAGAAGGACCTTGGCCAAGGAAACCAGCCCTGGGGAGGACGGTCGGGGGAGCACGATACAGCGGAGAGCAGACCAGACCGGGCGTCAAGGGTCACGGGGGGAAAGCACCCAGTCCGCGCGGCCACCGCGGCCACCACCCACTCGTGATGGGAGGCCACCCACACGGCACGAGGTCATCCGTCCAGGGCACCTGCCGAAACCTGGGGCCAAGCGTGGGGAAGCCGCTGGATGACAGAGCAGGCAGCGTCCCATGGGATGTGGGCTGCACCCCCCCAAAAGGGGCCCCAGGAAAGAGAGGGCAGGAGGGCCTTCTGGGAGAGGAGGCAGGAGGAGGAGCCCCCAGCAGGTGCCGCGCAGGCCTGAGCGACCGTCGGAGCCGCCCCGCCAAGGACGCCCTGGGCCCTGCTAAGATGGACGTCACCGCGCACGTCCCGGCCTTAGCAGACACGCAGGGGTGCTGGCGGGTGCACACACGCCGATGTGTCCACGTGTGCATGAGCGTGGCTGCCCCTGCGTACATCCGCGCACCCACAGGAGGACGGCAGGGGAGAGCCAGGACACGGCGAATGTGAACGGCCAGCGAGGTGCGGGGCAGGTGTGCGTGAGCGAGTGCGGCGCCCGCCTCCCCTCCCTGCCGCCGTCTTCCCGGGCTGGGAACGGGGCTCCCTGCGGGGGTGCTGAGCCGCGTGCCCCAGGTCCCCCGGGACAGCTCGTCCCCGAGCCTTCACACCCCGTCTCCTACTCAACGTCATGATTCACGGTCATCTTCATAGAGGGGACAGGACTGTGCTCGCTGTGCCCCTCGCACTTGGCCCCTGGGGCCTCTGTGAAGGGCCACCTCCTGCGGGATCCCCCCTCGAGACTGCTTTGGGCCCGCGGGCGCCGAGACGTCCCTCGGGGGTGAGGGTCAGGCAGCCGGGTGTCGGGCAGGGTCGGCTCCGCAGCCTCGGGGGTGACTCGGGGGTGAGGCCGGCCCCACGGTGGGGATCTCCCGGTTCGGGAACACGGAGCACTCGTCCGCTTATTTAGCTCTGCCTTGACTCAGGATTTTATTTATTTATTTATTTATGAGAGAGACACACACAGAGGCAGAGACACAGGCAGAGGGAGAAGCAGGCTCCCTGCAGGGAGCCCAATGCGGGACTCAATCCTAGGACCCCGGGATCACAATCTGAGCCAGAGGCAGATTGTGCAACGTCGTTTCCAGTTCCCAGGGCGTGAGCTTCGCCCTCCTTCTGTGAAATTTATTCCTAAGTAGTTTATTCTCCTCGTGCTTTTGTAATCGGGTCGTGCGGGGTGTTTTTCTCCTTTGTCTCATTTTTGGATCATCCGCTGCAAGTGTATAGAAATCCCGCGGATTCTTCTTCACCCTGACCGTGTGTCCCGCAGCTCACGGAACGGGTCGGTGAGCTGCGGGGGGTCTCCCGGGGGTTCCTGGGGCTCGGCGTCTCCAGGACCGGGTGGTCCGTGGGCAGACTGCAACGCTGAATGGACGAGGGGCGTGGGGCAGC